TATGGCGCCCGAGGCAGAAAGGTCCATAAAAGTCCACAAAAAACGTTTCAATATTCCTCCATACTGCTCGTCCAATGTATTCCAAGTGTCCTGAGTGGATAGCGTCCATAATTTACTCGAAACGAAGTCATTTAGAATGTTTTTAGAGCATAAACAGTAGTGTATAGGATTTCCTGAAAGCGCGCGCCTGCGAGTTCACGACGCTACGGAAACCGCGGCAGACCAAACCAGACGAAAGTGCGCATTCAGCTCGGCAAAGAACTCATGCTCTTCCTCAACACTGAAGTCCTCAGACATTTTTCTTTCGTTGTTTCTTTCTTTGCACAGGTAAACAGCACATTTCTTCTTCTACGCTTGCATTATCGGCAGAGCAGACGCTGAATGCGCACTTTCATCTGGTTTGGTCTGTTAGTTCCATAAGAGTATGTAGATCATTTAAAAGTCATACAGTCATTGGGGTTTTCTGGGGACTGGATTTACTTCCTGCAGATATAAAGCCATAAATAGAATAACTCAGTCTTTGAGCTTAATAAGCCACAATTCAGTGACTTCTAAGCTGCTATTCATAGGGTGAAAAATGTTGATATACATGAGAATGAATGCTCTGTAAAAAGTGGGAAATGATACATATTTGCACCCAAATGATAAAATGTAATACATTAACTACTGTAAGGTTAATGGAGCCTAGGCGGAAGTTCAACTGAATAAACTCATAACTCGCCTTCATCCACCTGCGACACAGCCAATCAGCTTTGAACCACGCCTCCATTGAAACCAATCGGCATCCAAAGTTAATCTTAAAAGGCATCCGATCTGCAGCTCGTCTGCTACCTAGTGAGCAAGTGGTGGTTGATGTTTGGTCTGATGACCCAGTTTCAACCCACCTCCATCCCCTCCTCCACCATCGTAGCTAAAGCTTCATCAGAGTTTCATTCCTCCCAGAATCTTATGCTACGTTCACACCAAGAGCAGAATCAAAATCGCCTGCTTTATTTTTGCTGCTTGTACCAGTTTAGTTCTGACGCCGGCTGAAGCAGCTTTGCTGCTCTGGCTGCGTGGTGCAAAAGTGTGTCTGACGGGCGTTGGGCGGAGCTTCGCTATCCTTTCTCTGCCTTGCAGCTATATTTGCTGTGATCAGTGGGAATAAAGTAGTTTTAATATGTTTTTAAGTGAGAAAATCCACCTGAAAACTGAATCAGTGCCGTCAGTTCATCCAGATTACATCCCGCCTTCCAGTATTATTTCTGTCAGAGCCACTCAGAGCCCCATATACCAGCGGTGCGCCGACAGTAGGAATCCCTTCAACAGCAGCCTCTGGCCGGGTCGCCTCCACCGCGGCGGCTGGAAGGTGTTTTTCATCAAAATAATCATAACTGCAGGCACCAGGATAATAAAAGCGAACATATTCTGCCGGCAGATTTCTGCATTTTAAGTTAATTTAGGCGTCAGTAAACTGTTTCAGAGGAGTGATCACAGCGCTCTGGGTCATCAGCGATGTGTCTGTCTCACGGCCAGCTCCCAGATCAGCTTCTCTGATTGGTTGAAGCGGCGCGTCAAGCAGCAAAAGTTAAATTTTTCCATCTCTAGCAGCAGCGCGTTTGCGGCGCATCACATGCTTAAACGCGCCCGACGCGCTGCTTCAGCTGCGTAGACGCGCTGCGCGACCTTTTGCTGCGCCTTGACACGCGTCAACCATTGACTTTGCATGTAAACTCGCTGCTTCTGCCGCGCCTGCAGCGTCCAGTGTGAACGTAGCATTACTGCATTCTGTGTCTCATTTCAACCAGTCAGGCAGAAGACCGCCATGTAGAGCCTGGTTCTGCCAGAAGTTTCTTCCCAACAGGGAGTTTTTCCTCTCCACTGTCGCTTCATGCTTGCTCATCATGGACAGGTTCTCTCAACCTGTGTTATCCAACTGGACTTCCATCTTCCAGGTCCCTGAGTGAAGCTCTAGTATCAGCTCATGCAGTCCACTGGATCTCCCCATAAAGCTCAGCAGACCGTCTCGCTAACCAGCAGTCTACAGACTGACCAACTTCATATATCTCCACTCCACCACCAGTTTCAGGCCTTGTTTTACTGGATTTCCGGGCTCAAAGCAGAACTTTTACTTCAAAGAATACATATTTTTTTCAGTACAGCTGTACTTTTGGAAAGATTACATGTCAAACTATTTACCCAGCAAAGTCTGTGACTCGGAGTGTTGTTCAGAAATGGTTACAGGGAAATATTGTGCAGAAATAAAGCCTCTTCAAATGCAAAAACAGTAAAAAATATTTAAGAATGTAATAAGGTTCAACTAATCTTTGGGAAATTTGAATTTGAATAAAAGATTGTTATATTTTTGATGGCAGCAATAATCCAAAGTTTATCTTCCATTAAATTGCCAATGTCTTCAGGAGTTGGTTTCTGTGAAATTAAATTTGGCCAGGTTTTTTTTTCTCCAAATTAATCCTAACCTGATTCCTCAAACTTGTGGAAATCTATATTCCTGTGACTCCATCTAGTGGACAAAGCTTATAATCACACATTTATCTCTAAAGCCTACTACATAAATAAATATTTGACCAACTTTATAGTTTAGAGATTTAAAATTACCTGAATAAGTCTTACAACTGAATTTTGTAAACAAAACAACTCCCCCTCCCCCCCAAAAAAAAATATATATTCAATAAAGCAACATTTTTATCTCTTTTTATCTTTAAACTAAAAATATCAATCACACTTCCCTGAAGCCAGTATACACTGACCTCCACTAGATCACTTTACAGCTTCTATGCTAGTTTTATTAATTAAAATAAATATTAATTGAATTATCTTAGTGTATCAAACTGTTTCTTTTTTTCTTTGTGATCATCTCCCTTTGATTATCATGAGTATCTTGATGATATTGCGTTACAAACAATAAGGCAATGTTCTGATGTTTTGTTGTCTTTGAATGATTTGGTCATTTTACTGCACATTTGTACTGTTTTCATGATGAAGCAGTCATCTGGTCATAATTATTCCAAAAAAGTGAAGAAAAAAAACAATCTACTAGACTTCATTTTCCAAGTTTGAAGATGTTTTATTAGGAAGAAGTTAGGAAGCTTTTAATTTTAATTCAAAAATTGAAACGGCAAAACGTCTTCAAACTTGGAAAACAAAGTCCAGTGGGTTTTTTTTTTTTTACTATTTTAGCTTTTTTGCAAAAGTATTTTCTGTTTTTTGACAAATAGAACTAATTTCATTAAACATAAATGCTTTTAAATGGAAAAAGTTTGACGTAATATCAGTGTCTTTTTATTATAGAGGATGCAAATATCTAGTTTTAACAGCTGAACAGAGAAGAAATATTTTTTTTGAAATTTTTTTTTAATGATTTCACAAATATCAAAAACATTTCCTGTGTGATCCGCATCATTAAGACAGACATTGGCTTTGCTGCCAAATCCACAGGATCTGAATGTAACCAAACAAACTAAAAATAAATTTCACTTCAACTCTCCTCATTAGAGGACATTTTATTTTACTCTATTTCTTTTTCAGGGATACTGGTAAAAGTTAAATAATGATACAAGTAATATTGTTTTAAAGAAAGACTTTGCAATAATTTCAAAAATCTTCACATTTACACTTTTATTGTAAAGGCAAATTCTTACAAAATAGTCATGTGACACCGAAATGAAGAAAAAAAAAAAAACATCTGAGAGTTACAAGGAAGGTGCAGCAGAATTCTGACTTTGGTGATGATTTTGTTTGAATTAAAAAAGAAAACTAACCTGTTTAAGAGTTCAAAAGGTACAAAAGCAAAAAGAGAACATCAAAATGTGAAAATATTTTAGCAAAAGCTCAGACAATGGCTGGCTGGATGGTCCAACGTGTAACAGCTTCCAGATCAAAGCAGCAGATCGGCTCAATGAGACACCGCTAAGGCTGCAACTAAAGCAGACGCAGCCATTAAGGTTACTCTTCTAGGGCAATAACTACACATGATGAAGCAATATACCTAAAACCAAAAAAAAAATTGCACATGCAAATACAAAGTCCTCTGGTGCTATGGCAGCTCTAAAGCTACATCAGCTGAAACAACAGATAAACAGCAGTACAGTATATAAAGAACTACCGGTAATCAGAACGGTATAAAACTTTACCACCAAATGTATCCTCTTATTAGGCAAAGCAGTTTTAGTAGCAACATAACTTTTATAAGTGTGGTTAGATAGTTTTACAGTACATTTTGGAGCCCTAAATTATGTATTTATGTCCTGCAAAAAGCCCTAGAGATGATGAGTTTTATAGAAAGCTCTTCCAAACCAAGACAAACTGAAACCAAGAGAATCCCATTTGAAATGAATCACTTGTTTCTGGTAATTAGCTTTATTAGCTCGCCTGCTGTGAGTTGGATGGAAAGGTTTGCACCACTGGCATTGATGCCCTGTTTTAAATGTGAAATGATTGCCCGTAGCTGTTCTATTCACCTCTCAGAAACAAAACAAATTACAGCCAACTGCGTTTTTTTTAGATTGCTTACATTGGGGAGCGATCTAGAAATAGTTTGCTACATAATAGACCATCATGTGCTGCACATTTTACACTGGAAAAAAATCGAAATCTAGATAAGTCATTTTTCTTAAAATAAGTGCGTTTGTTCTTGGAATTAGGAGGTAAAAGAGACATTTTGCCAATGGAACAAGACAATTTACACTTAAAATAAGAAAACACAATTGCATTGTCTTATTTATAGATAATATGCACCTAAAGCATATTATCTAAGTATGTAAAAATACTAATTCCATTGGCAAACTCTCTCATTTGCCTAGTCAGATGATTAAGGGTAAATACACTTAATTGAAGACATTTTTACACATTTCTAGCTAATTTTTCTAGTTTACACGTGATTTTCATCAAAACAATTTAGCTTAGTCTGTGTGGAAAAGTATCTTTACAGGTCAATAACTTTTGTTAAAGATCAGATTATCTTTCTTATATACGGTTAATATATTTTATATAGTTTTTTGATGTCAGCATAGTTTAAAACCAATATTGCAGATAATGGGAGAGTTGTTGTTCTTCTGAGGTTACCAGAGCTTTTTGGTTATTTCCCTGGCAGCATTTTTGCAGGACACAAACATTAATGTCTAATACTTTCTTTCTGTTCTAAAATTAAAACCATTCCTTTTAACTAATTTCTACAATGGCTTCACTAAACATCAAAACTTCTCCTTCTTTCCCATCCTATCTGCTTCCTTAGGTTCTGCCTCCTCTCCAATTTACTTCCTTTTGAAAGTTACAAACTTGCCAAATTTTCTCCCTTCTTTTTATTTCTGTCATGAATGAATTGTTTCTTATATTCGCAGTGCTCCTTTTCCCTCCGTTGCTCAGTAGTGCCCCCTAGCAGGGTTGGTTGTTACAGGCACGAATCTCCCGCCGGTCCTTGCAGTTGCTCTTTGCCCTTCTCTTAACCGTCCGGAACCGCTCCTGTAATCCTCCTCCGCACGGTTTAGTGCATTCAGTCCAGCTGGTCCATGGCTGCATGCGGCACGCAGCTGGAGCTGAACAGATGAGGAGCAGGAGGGAGGCTTCAGTCAGAAACAAACCAAAATACAAACAGCAACAGACACGGAAAAAGCTGCATGCATTCAGCTTTTTCTGTTAAAATAATCTTAAATTTCTACATTAATATATGAATCCTACCCAATTTAGATTGATCATATTAAATTATATTATAAGCATTCAAGTAAATACTTTGTTTTGTCTTAAGCAAGACTTCCACATATTGGAGTTTTTGATGTACTGTGACACATTTAGGTGCTTTTGCTCTCAGGGAAAAGCCTGCAAAAAAGCTGTTTATTACATTCTATGATTTACTTTTTTCTTTGACGTTTGAAGCTCCTCTGACAATTGGGGTTTTTTGTTTGCATCACGTGTGAGTGTGTTGAGACAATAGCTTTTTTGAGATCCCAGATTGAGTGGCTTACAGTTTCTCTCCTGCTGAACCTACCTGATCCTTTGGGCTTACTCCCGCCTCCCCCTTTTGTACGGCACTTCCTGATCTTGCATTTCTTCCTCTGGATGGTCTCGGGACAAGAACTGCCCCCAAACTGCGGCTCCAGTTTGATCATGCGGGTGCGGATGGTGTGTCCTTTACCGCAGGACTTGTTGCACTCTGACCACTCTGACCACTCTGACATCATGCAGTCAATCGCTGGATGGAAGGATAGGAACAAAGATAAAGGAAAGTGGGGGAGGGGGTCAAGAGGAAAGAAGATCAATACAGTTTTTCATGTTACAAAAAAAAAAGCTCACATCATTTTATGGAGATTTAATTTGAGAAACCAACACAGTGACGTAAAATTAGGACGTACTAACTCAAAAATGCTGGTACAGATTTTATATAAGAAAACCTTGCATAGGGTCCTCTATACCTGCTTTGCTGTATTCCTCTCTGCCTACAAAACCTTCTCTATATACAGATAATCAAGTGGTTGGACATGTAAAGAATCTGTATGTATGTGGTGTGTTTGACAGTTTTACTAATTTGTCTTCTAAGTATAATCTTCTGGGTACTCATTTATTTCGCTACTTTCTGACGTAGTTTTGTTTTAAAACTCTTTCCCAGTTTTCCTTCAATGCCCCGGGAATTGCCTTGGGAAAACTTGCTTTTCTATAGTCCTTCTCAGAGAGGACTCATTTCAAAGATATATACAGGTGCTGGTCATAAAATTAGAATATCATGAAAAAGTAGATTGATTTCAGTAATTCCATTTAAAAAGTGAAACTTGTATATTATATTCATACATTACATACAAACTCATATATTTCAGATGTTTATTTTGTTTAATTTTGATGATTACAAATGACAACAAATGAAAATCTCAAATTCATCATATCAGAAAATTAGAATATTGTGAAAAGGTTCAAAATTGATGGCCCCTGGTGCCACACTCTAATCAGCTAATTAACTCAAACCACCTGCAAAAGCCTTTAAATGGTCTTTCAGTCTAGTTCTATAGGCTACACAATCATGGGGAAGACTGCTGACTTGACAGTTGTCCAAAAGACGACCATCGACACCTTGCACAAGGAGGGCAAGACACAAAAGGTCATCGCTAAAGAGGCTGGCTGTTCACAGAGCTCAGTGTCCAAGCACATTAATAGAGAGGCGAAGGGAAGGAAAAGATGTGGTCGAAAAAAGTGTACAAGCAAGAGAGATAACCGCACCCTGGAGAGGATTGTGAAACAAAACCCCTTCAAAAATGTGGGGGAGATTCACAAAGAGTGGACTGCAGCTGGAGTGAGTGCTTCAAGAACCACCACACACAGACGTATGAAAGACATGGGTTTCTGCTGTCGCATTCCTTGTGTCAAGCCACTCTTGAACCACAGACAGCGTCAGAAGCGTCTTGCCTGGGCTAAAGAGAAACAGGACTGGACTGCTGGTGAGTGGTCCAAAGTCATGTTCTCTGATGAAAGTAAATTTTGCATTTCCTTTGGAAATCAAGGTCCCAGAGTCTGGAGGAAAAGAAGAGAGGCACTTCATCCACGTTGCTTGAAGTCCAGTGTAAAGTTTCCACAGTCAGTGATGGTTTGGGGTGCCATGTCATCTGCTGGTGTTGGTCCATTGTGTTTTCTGAGGTCCAGGGTCAACGCAGCCACATACCAGGAAGTTTTAGAGCACTTCATGCTTCCTGCAGCTGACCAACTTTTTGGAGATGCAGATTTCATTTTCCAACAGGACTTGGCACCTGCACACAGTGCCAAAGCTACCAGTACCTGGTTGAAGGACCATGGTATCCCTGTTCTTAATTGGCCAGCAAACTCTCCTGACCTTAACCCCATAGAAAATCTATGGGGTATTGTGAAGAAGAAGATGCAATACACCAGACCCAACAATTCAGAAGAGCTAAAAGCCACTATTAGAGCAACCTGGGCTATCATAACACCTGAGCAGTGCCACAGACTGATCGACTCCATGCCACGCCGCATTGCTGCAGTAATACAGGCCAAAGGAGGCCCAACTAAATACTGAGTGCTGTACATGCTCATACTTTTCATGTTCATACTTTTCAGTTGGCCAACATTTCTATAAATCCTTTGTTTTTATTGGTCTTCAGTAATATTCTAATTTTCTGATATGATGAATTTGAGATTTTCATTTGTTGTCATTTGTAATCATCAAAATTAAACAAAATAAACATCTGAAATATATGAGTTTGTATGTAATGTATGAATATAATATACAAGTTTCACTTTTTAAATGGAATTACTGAAATCAATCTACTTTTTCATGATATTCTAATTTTATGACCAGCACCTGTATTTCCATTCTGAAACTAAACTGTCAGTGGGATACCAAAATCAAGAATGCATGGGAATCAGAGTTAGGAATACAGTTAAATGAATCTCTGGGTGGATGCAATTGACAGAATACGGTTTACTACCTCTTGTGCTTGTCTTCGTTTTATTCCATTCAAAGTTTTTCATAGAGTCTGTTTCTCTAAGTCCAGACTCAGTGAAATGTATCCAGAAATTGAAGACAAATGTGATAAGTGTCAGGAAGTGTCATCTTAGTCATAAGTTTTTTTTCTTTGCCCTGTCCTGGCTGCTTTTTGGTCTGGTTACTTAGCAGTTATGTCTGCTATTCTCAAAGTTAACCTGCAGCCTTGTCCACTGACTGCCATATTTGGAATTTCTGATTCCTCAGTTGTATTAAATTCAATGCAAAAAGATATTATAGCCTTTACATCCTTAATCGTAAGGCGTCATTATTATTACACTGGAAGTCTGCTAGATCTCCCTCCATCGCCCAGTGGCTGAAGGACATGGTGTTTTTCCTTAAACTTGAGAAAATTAAATATACAATGAGAGGATGTACAGACAATTTTTTCCAAAAATGGCAGTGTTTTCTTTCTTATTTTTCAAATTTGAAGCTCCTACCTAACTAAATATACAGTATTTTTTATTTCTATTATTATTATTTATTTTATTGTCTGCTGAACCTGTTGGGCTGAGACAGGGTGGGAATGGGGTGTTTTGTTCTCTCCTTTTATTGTTCTTATTTTGTTTTGTTTTTGTTGTTTGTATATGTAGTAGGTGTGACTATTTCAACATTTGTACTTGTGTGTATATATTTGAATTTATACCTGCATAAGTATATGTTTATCCACACAAAAACACTGTATTCCTTATTGTGATTATCTTATCATTTGCTTCTATAAAAACTATTTGAAAAAAAGAAAAAGAAAATAAAAATCAAAAATGATATAATGAATTTTATTCAGCATCTCCACATCTGTACTTTTGATCCTATGTAAAATGACTTAAGTGTTGGGGTCTGGAGGTCTGTCCACCTTTCTCCAGCAGAGGGCGTCCTAGGTCTCCTGGAGCCGGAGCTGACTTCTACACCTGCGGCTCGTTAACTCATCAGGAGACCAGCATATAAGCAGTGGCAGCGCAACACTCCAGTGCCAGAGTGTTAAGCCAGTTACGGTTAGCAAGCCTGAGCCAACCTGCCAGTCTGATTCTCTGACTCCCCTGAAGACCTGAACTTCAACCTAACCAGTTTTTGTCCTCTCTGCTTCCTAGGAAGAACCTGACCGAACCCTGAAACTCTGGAAGAGTTTCTCTCCTGCAACTACCTGTCTGATCTCTGGATGATTAACTGTCTGAGCCTGCCTGCCCGCTCTCAAGAAGAGATTTGGAGAGAATCTCTGATCTGAACACTGAAAGGTCTGAAGTCAAGCCCTGCCACTGCCAAACCCTCTGCTCACCATCTGCCTCTGGACCCTCCTGGTTCCCTCCCTCTGCCGTTCTGTGAACCACTGAAAAGGTACAAACCTGCAAGATTCTACAAACTACTGAACTAAGACTCCAGCTAACTGAACTGTCCCTCTCTGCAGAAGATCCTGTTGTGACCAAACCCGGACCTGTTACTCTGAACAGTCTTTTTTATTCATTGTGAGATCAATAAACTGTTGAACTTTTTCTCCCTTGTCTGAGTGTGTTCTGCATGTGGGTTAGGTCCCTAAATCCCAACATGACATTAAGTCAGATTGGATGAATGACTGAATGTTATTTCTTTTTTTAACCTTGTCATATGGGATTCCATCTAACAAACTATATTCTGGAACATTTCGTTTTCTTCAGTCAGCCTATACCTAATAGTTGTCTTTATTTCTTAGAAAGGAGAATAAGTCTTTTTGAAGCAATTTTTTCAAGTTTTCTGCATTCCATTTAAATGCAGATCTCTTAGATTTTTTTTTCAATGAAGTGTTCCAGCTGCCACCTAGATCCACCGCTAGATTTCTGTGAGCTCAAATTTGTCCTTTTGCTGCTGACACACCTGAACACCCCACACTGACAATAAAGAACATTTGAATTTATTCTATTTTCTATCAGAGTGAGGTCTGGTCTTTCACTTGGCTGTTCTAACTCATAAGCATGATTTAGTCCAAACACTCGACTGTGGCTTAGGTTGTATTCATATTGTTCTTGTTGTGCCAAAGGTGAACCTCTGCATAAATCTCAGGTCTTTTAAAAAGGTTTTATCTAGGACTGTGTAAGTCATCTCCAACCATCTTTCTATTTAAGTTATTCGTCTTTCCTTTCTTGTCCTACAGCATGGAGTTGCTATCACTAGTTTTCACAGTTTAGGGCAATGTTCTCTGACAGTTGTATAAACTTTAATCTTATCTGACTTTATCTTCATGGGGTTTTTTGTACTACTCTTCCTTAAAATGACAATCGTGTCGAGCAGAACTAATTTGGTTATCTTGTAAAAAGATTCTTCAAACTGAGCTGTGGATCTCTGCAGCTCCTCCAGAGTGTATCTGATTAATCCGGTCCTTGTCCAAAGTTCCAGTTTAGATGGACCGTCATGTCTCTGTGGGTTTGCAGCTGTTCCATAACGCTCTCATTTTCAGATAATACACTGAGCAGTTCTCCTTGACATATTTTAAAACCTACAATGTGTTTTATCCTATACATATATGTCCTATATGTCTATCTTATACAAGTCTGTTATCTTCCCTGGGTTTCCATGACAACGTCATCAATGGCACAAAGTGACTTTCTATGAACTAAAATAAACTTTGAAGATGATTTTAGGAGAGAATAAAGCTTTATTAAATTAATTTTTTCCCCCCACTGAATTAAAAAAAGATATTTGTTGTTTCCTAAGATGTGATAACTTCACTCCTAAGACCTGAGTATGTCCTAAACCTTACTTAAAACCTTCTAAGCACAGCTGTATGCACAAATTAGGTGCATTAGGTTACTAAAATCATGCCCAACCATGTATTTTTTGCCTATCTATTACATAAAAGTCTAATGAAATACTATTGAAGTGTGTGGCAGTAATGTTAGAAAAGTGATGAGTTCAGGCTCATGAAAACTCTTTGGTTCAGCACAAACTCTGCTCCTTCACCAATGATGAATATTTCATTTTAATCTTAAAGAGAATACTTTCTAAGATTTATGAGATGCTGTTTGAAACAGCACACTGAATAGATCCTTTTGTTTTATGAAACCTGCTCAGTCACTGCTGATTTTTACAGCCTTTCTGCTTGTGAAGTTTTATCATCACATTGCACAGATCAGTGCACAGGCAGCAGAATCCCAGCTCCCTCTGACACTGCACCTTTGATTCTGTCCAGAAACAATTTAAATCTAGAAGCAAGCATTTCATACTACACTGTGCATTTTTAAGAAAAGAGAAAAGGGCTGAGCTTCATGTATTCAACGATAATTCTTCTGTGGCAAAGTTTTCCAAACTTAATCCTGCCAGTGTCACAATAGCTACCACTACTAAAATATATGTTTACCATTTATGTATATTTGTCTTAACAAAAAATATCAACGCGCTTTTATGAAAATCCTATACACTACTGTTTAGGCTCTAAAAACACTCTAAATGACTTTGTTTCGAGTAAATTCTGGATGCTACCCACTCAGGACACTTGGAATACATTGGACGAGCAGTATGGAGGAATATTGACACGTTTTTGTGGACTTTTATGGACCTTTCTGCCTCGGGCGCAACAGACCTCCATTATTTGAATGTCAGCAGACAGCAAGAAGCCTCCCAGATCTCCAGATGCATTTGAGATATCAAAAAAGTACTCCAGAGTGTTGTTCAGCATGGGGGTGAGTAGAAAATGAAGGCTAATCATGTTTTGGGTGTACTATTCCTTTAAGTCTGATGTATGTAACACCCAGAAACACAGACAAATAATTGGTTACAAGTCACACAGTTTCTGGGTTGGCTCTCTTTACACACCTGATTTTTGCTACACTTCTGCCATGTGAGATCTGCACATGCATAGAGATAGGGTGACCAGACGTCCTCTTTTTCCCGGACATGTCCTACCTTTCATACCTAAAAAAATGTCCGGGGGGAATTTCAAAATTGTCCTGGATTTTGGTCGGCTACAGTGCAGCACGTATTCCGTAAAAATTCAAAAAATATCCACTGGACTTGGTTTTCAAGATTTGAAGACGTTTCGCCACCTCTCCAGGAAGCTTTCTCAATTCAAATTGCAGCACGTAGTCAAAACACACCGGGCATCCAACTGCAGCTGCGGGGCTGGTCAGGGAACTCCGGACGGGGGGGAGGGAGCCAGCAGGGGACGGAGCGACCGAACCTGACCCAGTGACGGTACGCGGCCCCGTGCTGCTGTGGCAACTGGCATCGGGATGGGCTGGTCGCTGCGTCCTCGGCTGGCTCCGGAACCAGTCCAGCCCCGTAGCGGATGGCTCGGTTCGAATGCCCGGTCCGGTTCAGTCAGCGGCCCAGCAGCCATCTGTAATTACTCCTAAGATATCAAAGATAATGCAAATAATTTTGCAACAATATTTCTCCCAAACAAATGGTTTTGATACAGAGTGCAGTGGACTTTATACAATAAAAACTGTCAAGAAATACTCAAAGGAAAAAAAAAAAAACAATGTTAAGTTGAGAAATGAAAAAAGGAAAATATCCTGAACTAAAGGAGAGAGTTTAAAATTCAAGGACTCACGACACTCAGGCAGCATGCACTTCTCTGTTTGTTCCAGCTCCTCTGTGCACTCAGTAGGATCAGACTTCAGCATCCGCTGACGCTTTCGAACTCCCCGGCCGCACGTCACGCTACACTCACTCCAGTCCGACCAGGGGGACAGCATACAGGGGATGGTGTCTGAACACAAACACACAAAACAGCTTCCAGTTTGCAGATCAGTTGACTTTTGTGTTAGAGAGAGCTGAATACTTGATTTATGTAATGGTCAAGCTTTGGTAATAAATGCTTTTGTTGTTAATGCAAACATAATAAAGATAATACATGTTCTGTTTGGCCTCTTTTAATCTAAAAAAGAGTGACAAACAAAACAAAAAATTTAAGTCGGTGCTAAGGTAGCAGGTTATTTAAAGAAAGGCAAGATTATTGGACTTGTAAATTAACTTTAATAGCATTTCAAACATTTTCATCCATTAACCTCTTACACCCTGAGGGGGTATAAATAAATTTCTGCCTGACAAAAACACACAAAAGTAAATCACTTATAGCCTCACAGCTATTAGATTTAAGAAGAAACTTTTGGTACGTCTGTAAAGGTAAGATGTCATAGAATGGTTTTCTGGTGTCAGCACCATTGTAGCTTTGACCCTGCCTGAAATATTAGGGACAAAATACAAAATATTTTGCATTTTTTGAACCTCGACAAAATTTTCTTTGAAATAAACATTACAAAACACTACCAAAATATTATTTAGAGCACAAAAAAGTAGTACAGACTTTTAAATCTAAATGTTGTGTAAAAATATACCAAATTTGGACTCAATCAGATGAATCATATTTATTTTAGAATGGTATTAGTGAGAAATTTCTTAGGCGGAGAGGCCATTTTGGCACATTTATCCACAAATGTCACCAAACTGTGCCAAATGTGTTTTTTACATCAATACTGGGGGTTTGTTAAAATTACGAGGTCACGTAGCAGCTGGACCCGCCGGTGGGTCCGTAGGGTTCTAGGGGTTAAGAACTAACACTGCTATACGGGGAATATGGAGAATTAAAATTGATTCCGGTTAAAAAAGTAAAAAAAAAAATAAATTTAATATGAAAAAGGAAAAAGAGTACATTATACTGTAAGTTTGAAATATATATTTTCAATTTGATGTAAAATAAAATGCAGAGAATACAGACCGTGAAGTTCCATAACTTATTTTAGTATGAAATTATTAAATAAAAAAGTTTCCTCTGATTGTGGTGCCGTTTTACAGAAAGGTTGCTACTGTTGAAAAGCTTTCATGTAAAACCTGATGGAGTATTTAATGATATTTATTATCTTCTATGCTCTAATAGAGGTTTTTCATCACATCCGTCAAACATTATACAAATAAAATAAATCCACAAATAGCCACCTAAAACATGTTATTTTTGCAAAGATTAATGTTGTATCTATATAAAAGTTAAATCCTCCGTGACCAATGCCCTCTAAAAGCAAAGGTTGTGCTGTTATCTGCAATTGTTCCTCCTGTAGGCGTACACAGGGATTAAAGCAAAAAAAAATTCCTGAGCCTGAACTTCTTCGACACACGCAAGAACAAATCGCACAGGGTGCAATTTGGTAATTATACAATTACCAAAAAAAAAAGAAATACACAAAGAACTGCAAACTCACGGCATTCTGGCATCATACACTTCTCCATCTCAGCAACCTCAGTTTTACACATCGATCCGTCGATAGGAGGCATCTTCACCATTCGCTCCCGTCTCCTCATGCCAAGACCGCAGGTGACGCTACAGGGGTCCCACTCCGCCCACTCTGTCACAACACAGCTGCTAGGAGCTGTGGGAAGCAAAACAAGAATCTCCAAATCAAACACTTATTGAATGAATTAAATGTTTGTTTTATTTCTCGATTTGTTTTTCACCGTGCCGAAATAAAACCTACTTACTAATGAGATAACAGTAGGATTAATGGCAGCGTCTGTATCTAAGTAGGAATTTAAGGAGCTCATTGTGACTTTAAAAAATGGCTTTAATATAAAAAAAAGTGCATCAAAATGAGGGTAAAAAAATGCTGTATGAATAATGCTACTTAAAGTGTATGGAAAGCAAAATAGTTCAAAATGAAATCAATAAGTAATTTAAAAAATACCTATCAGCTCTACAGCGCTTTCTACCACAGCATCATCAATGTTAACATCATGACGACTAATTATCAGCCTGATCATTTCAAAAATTAGTTCATGGTGACTTAAAAAAACATATTCTGACATAGATCCAGCCAATGATGGTTTTCTGTTCATGAAACTCCACCAAGCTAGTTGTTGCTAGCTCAACTAGCAGGCAGCCAGAATGAAGACTAGATCCTGTTTGGTGTCAGCCCATGGGGGTGCAGATCCAACCTGCTGACGCTGATTGGCCAACTAAGTCATTAATGTTAAAAATGTCTTTATGAAATCAAAAGGCAGTAGAAGAAAACATTATTATGAAATAAAAGCTGACTGATGGAATAAAATAAAAACTCCTCAGGAATAATCTATATTTTCGTGATAAATTATCAAATTAAATCATTGTATGGTTCTTTTTATTCTTATAAAATATATTGCATAGTAATGAGCTGAGAATTTTACTTGCATTCAGTTATTTCAAAATGTCATTTTTACATTAAAAGTCATAGAGAAACGGATGTTCCAACCCTTGCATTTCTGAATTCTCCCGAGTTGTATTGGTCGTTTATCAAGGGGGCGGGATTGTTGTGGCGGAAGGTTCACAAGCAGGTTTGCTTATAGGCCGGTGGTTGGAAGCATCTTGCTAACCAGTCAGCAACTTAGTGCTAGTAGGTTCCCAATGGGAAATTGCATTGGAACCAAGTAGCACTTTTTTGTTTTGGAGGTCGTGGATGAGTCTCCTCCGTCATATATTTTTTATTTAGAGGAGGAAAGCGGGGACGAAGATGTTGTGGAAGAGGACGCCAGGGCGGCAGAAGCTTGCTTTGGTGTAGAAGGCTTCCAGCCGTACATGTTTGAGCCCTTGCCTCGCAACGCTGCCAGTTCTGTTAGCTCTACGCCTGCAGAAGACACAGACGTCCATCCCCGTGAACACTGGGACGCAACTCAATGGGAAAGGAAACGATTCTCATTTGAACCGTTGCGTATATTAGCTGCGACATATGAATCAAGATGCGATGACCGAAAAAAATTGATTGACAGATGACCGTTGATATATGATTGGTCGAACTTAGGTGTACAAGCTGAGGAATAACTAACTGGCCAAGACAAGATTTTTTTTTTTTTTTAAACAGAAATGTTCTAAATTTTGGGACAATATCGTCTGATAGAGTAAAATTGTATACATTTTTTAGCCAGAATGATTTGACATTTAAATATGATTTCCCTACGACTTTAATATTTGTGTATTATTTATTAAAGTAGCTATTTATTCCACGGTGACTTATTTATTTGATTGATTTTGAACTCCATAGCATTCCATAAATGGCAAGTTGGTTGAATTTGTCTTAAATATATACAGGCATGCAAAGCATAAACAGAACTTAATTACAAAGATGTTTTGGAAACAATTTTCTTCGCCTGGAATTGCTGTTTTTTAACTACATTATTATTATTTTTTATTTTATTAGTCTTTTAAATACAACAATTTATGCATAACTTTACACTTTGCTCTGTTTTTATTATAAATTCTGAACAAACCAGTTTGTTACAGAAATCTCCTACGTAGTAAATACAATGTATCTGTGTGCATTCCAGTGGTAAAAGTAAGCCTGAATGTGCCGTTACTGCATACTGGTCAAAGATTTAGGGGTGTTGCTGCCTGCAATAATGCCATATGTGTTACACCAGCATCAGTTACTAATCTGAGTGCGCAGTGAGACAGGTTGCAACTCAAACATGCTAGCTTAAAGCCCCTTCTCAGTCCTTATGGTTCGCTCGGCTTGCTTCTTGAACATTCTTAAAATAAAATTCCAACCGTAAACACTCTTAAAGGCAAATTTAAATAATGCCACATTATAAATATTTGGATGTAATTACTGATTATTTGCTCTCTTTACTCTGCCTATTCCAAATTTTTTTAACAATATATATTTATTGTGATTTTTCATTTTGAAAACACAAACATGTCATTATCTGAACAGGTTCTCTTTGCAGTTATGACATGACAGCAAAAAAAACAAAAACAAAAAAAACCCACACAGCTTCTCAAAAACAGGGGTATGTAAGAAAGTACTAATTAGTCAGTTATGGATATACATATCTATACAACATGGCACACCACGGGTTCCAGTAAATTATAACTCAAACAGGCCTTCAGTCAAGTTTAAGTCCTTAATAAAATTAATGAAAGGCCCCCAAATCCTCTCGAAAAGATACCGTTTGGATTTCTTAATATATGTTATTCTTTCTAGCGGCAAACTAGACAACATCTGTTTTAACCACTGAGTGGCGTTAGGTCTCCTGATATTCTTCCAAGGTAAAGCAATGCATTTTTTTTGCAACTAATGAGCTAATATCTATAAAAGTACATTCTGATTTAAACTTATGTTAAAGATATGTTCCCCAGGGTATAAAGCTAAAAGGAACAATTTAGGATGTCTATTCCAAATTGGTACCAAAGTTAAAAGTGAAGTTAGGCTTTGTTTTGTAATTAAGTGTGTTGTCTTTTGAAACAAAAACCCTAACAACTCATAGGTGGTTACCTTTTTATCCATTTGGGATGATGGCAACATACACCGCTTAGAAAAATAAAGGGAACACTCAAAAAACACATCCTAGATCTGAAATGATTAAACCTAGGGCGGACCGCACCAGCATATGGTGTCCCAAGGGCTCTGAGGATCTCATCTTGGTACCTATTGGCGGTCATGCTACCTCTGAGCGACTCTCCAAAGAAATGTCCCCCCCACACCATTACTGACCCGCTGCCAATCCTGTCATGCTGCCGGATATTGCTGGCAGCAGATCGCTCTCCATGGTGTCTCCAGACTCTGTCATGTCTATTATATGCTCAGTGTAAACCTGCTTTAATCTGTCAAAAGCACAGGGTGCAAGTGGCGAATTTGTCAATCCCGGTTTTCTCTGGCAAATGCCAAGCCTCAGTTTCCAACCATATGTGCAGAAACATGCACATTTGTGGCCTGCTGGAGGTCATTTTGCAGGGCTCTGGCAGTCCTCATCTAGTTCCTCGTTGCACAAAGGCGGAGGTAGCAATCCTGCTGCTGAGTTGTTGCCCTCCGGCAGCCTACTCTACATCTCCTTATACACAGGCCTCTCTCCTGATAGCCCCTCCAGCCTCTCTACACAACGCTGACAGACACAGCAAACTTTCTTTCCACAGCTAACATTGATGTTCCATCGTGGATGAGCTGCTCTACCTGCGCCACTTGTGTGGGTTTTGGAGTCTGTCTCATGCTACCATGAGTGTTAAAAAGAACCACCAACATTCCAAAGTAGCCTAAACATCAGCCAGAAAGCCTTGGTACTGAGAAATGGTCTGCTGTTCCCACCTTCAGAACCACCTGATTATTTATTCCATTTGTACAATATCTATCCATCCATCCATTTTCCATCATGCATATTCCAAGTGGGGTCACGAGGGTCCCTGCTGTCTATCTCAAGCTGTCTACGGACGAGAGTCAGGGTACACCCTGGACAGGTCCCCAGTCCATCGCAGGGCCATTCGTACAACAGCCTGTAAAATTGATGGTCAATACTGTTTCTTTCTCAGTGGACAGTTTCATTTCACAGAAGTTTGCTTTGATTGAAGCTATGTTGTGTTGTTTACATGTTCCCTTTATTTGTTTTAGCAGTGTCCTCTATATGCAGTCTAGTTCTTAGTGACGTCATGCTTTGGACACTGTGTTTTATGGAGCACTAAGATTTATTACAATGTACTCAAAAACTTCCACTTATCCTAACTGATCATATTTTTGTGTTGATTGGTTTCCTCTCCCCATTTAATACCGGATTTACTTTTTAATTTATAAGGTTTTACTATGACTACCTCCTCTTTATTTAATTTCCTTTATTTATCAGAAGCCTACAGGGTCGTATCAGGGGCACTCACAGTTTTTATTTTATTGACTGCAGTCTGCACTATTTGGTAAAAAAGCATAATGTTCTGTGGCACCATCAGCCTGCAATCTGCTTCAGGATTAAATAGATTTAAAATAGCTACTATATATATTTTTTAGATTATTTATTTTATTTATATTTTATTAATATTTTTCTGCATAGGCAGGGGGGCTGCTCAGATGGGAAGAAGAAATATTTCCATACAAGGAAGTCTTGGAGTTTTTAGTATGTGTAAAACCCTGTATTATTTTCATTCAATGGCTGCTTTAAGGCAGTATGCCACGTTACATCCAGCTAAAATACATTGAATAAGATGACATAAAGAACCTCTGTGAATTTCCACTTCCAGTTATTCTAAACAAATGTGGAGCTACTAGGAAGTGGTTGTTAACAGGAACATTATTGTCACTTTTCTCTAGCCTTGAATGTTGTACTTCTTTTGAAAATTTAGATGAAAACTCTACTTATGTGAAAAGAGTGAAAGGGATGCATCTCTGAAGGCAGACTCACAGCATTCGTTGTTGACAACACACTTCTCAGTCTCTTCAGTCTGAAGCTGACAGAGCGAGCCGTCCTCCGGATACTGTTTGACGTATCGCTCTCTGGACCTCATCCCCATCCCACAGGAAACACTGCAGGCAGACCAGCTGATCCACTCTGACATCATGCACGTTGAAGGCTCTGTTCACCAGGAAAAGAAACCAATGCTATTTAAAGAACAAGAGATGAACATTTCACTAACTTTCTTTTATGTGTCAGGTGGAATAACAAAAGAAACAACAACCATAGAATCTCCATATCTCTGAGACACTAGAATTATGTTTTTTTTTTATAAATCTGTTCCAAAACAGTTTAATCCTAACATGTTTATGTCAAAAGCAAATGAGTCAAGATTTACCTACATTTTTCAGACACTTTCAGAAGATCAGATAGAACGTTTATTTTTAAGAAAACACATTTTTGTTTTTTGTCCATTTTACAGCTTGAGATCTGCTGGTGAAGATTCTTAGTTATCCAGGTCATAGTTATACCAAAAAGATAAAAAACAAAAACAAAAAAACAATTAACTGGACTTGGTTTCCAAGTTTAAATGTGTTTTCCCTCCCAGGAAGCTTTTTCAATTGAAAATGTCAGAATTGGCGTTGAGAAGAGCTACCTCTTCTGGACAGGACTCTGCTGTCTCATTTGAGGAACAGAATGTTCACAATTTGGACAAAGAAGACAGGTGGTTTCAAAGGGGTGTGAAGAAAGCTATTTATGTTAGGAAGAAAAATCAACCTTAATAGAGGGTTTGGACTCAGGTTCCAGGTCTCTTAAACCTACAATGCAGCAATAGAGTTGATTTCTTCCCGCTATCATTTCAACCCCCCATCCCCAGGCAGGGGACAAAACATCTCACCTCCCCAGGCAAGCCATCGATTGCCCCTAACGACCCCCTTTTCAGAGGCATAGCCCAGTATCGGGTATTGCAGGCTAACAAAGAACCCAAACGACTCCCCATTCCTAAGGGGCGGAACCGTTCTTCTGGATCAATTTGCACATTTTCTAAGCCAAAAAAGGTTTTTGGGCTACTATGTAAAGCTTCGAACTCAATGCTAATTCTGACATCTTGAATTGAAAGAGCTTCCTGGATGGGAAGTGAAATTTCAAACTTGGAAACCATTTCCAGTGGATTGTTTGAAAAGTTTTTTGGAATGACAATGACCTGGATGACTGAGAATCTTCACCAGCAGATCTCGAGTTGTAAAATGGACAAAAAACAATAAAGGTTTGAAACGTCTTCAAACCTGAAATCAAAGTCTAGTATATTGTTTTTTAACATTTTTGGAACAACTTGAGATAATTTCGACTGCCCTCAAATAAAAAAACATGGTGTTCCTTCATACCTACACTAAAAAATATTAATTTAACAAAGCAATATATTAACAGTGAGTGGGTTGGCATCTACTTGGCATTTAGCTAATTTCAATATATGGTTAACCTGCATTTTTTTCACCCTCTAGAAAACATGAATCAATCTTACATTAATACACCATGTCAAATATAAGCAGGCAAATAAAACCTTGTGAATTACAATCTTAAATAGTTAGTGAATAAACTGTATTTCCCAGTTTTTCTATGAACCTTTAGTGACTTTTTGAAAAACTCCATTTGATTTTAGAGTGTGTCCTTAATAACAAAACCCAGCTGATAATCTCTGTGGCCTGAATTGCAACCCAATGTCAACAAAGGCAAAATAATGTTAAAGTGCTTTTGTAAAAAAAATTACTCATTTATAGAAAGAATTATATTGTTAGCCGCTCATTGAATTCAAATTATCATCCTCATTAAAGGATTAAATCCTCATTTAGCAGCACTATAAATGGGAACCATTCTCTGAATCACGTTTTTGCAAACTGGAAAACAAATCTTTTACTAGAGTACATCTGTATTCCCACTATTGGGCTCTGGCTATTAGTTGACCTAATAAAGGGGCTGCAGTTACCAAACAAATAATTTCATTTAACATCTTTGGTGGTTCTGCTACAGAATTAAGTGACCTTTGGAAATAATCAAAGCATATAATTCATGATCATTTAATTAAATGATAAAACTAAACTGGGGTAAAACTAAAAGCGCATTTTTTCTTTTTATACCTTGATGTAAAAGAAGGGAAAGCTTTCAGAATATATAGATTCACAGATTGTTTCTGTCTTAAACTTAAAAAGAAGATTTGAGAAGCAGCAGAAAATATTTTGGCCTTGGAAAACATGCAGTAAACCCTAGACAAGAAAAAACCCCCAAAGCTTTTAGCTGTTCACCTAGTAAAATGCTGGTGCATCTTTTTGGTTCACAATGTGTTTTTGTTTTTAAGTAAAAACATACCATAAGCAATTATAAATCTCAGGCATACTCTCAACTCTGAGGTAACACCAGGGCACAAATGAATGCTGCTGGAACCCAGGATCAGACCAGCAACATTTTAGATTTTAAGTGAAACTCTCAAACTCTGAACAATTTCAAAGTATTCCTGACAGGAATATCTGTCCCTTGTCCTGTGGATACGGGACAACTGACCCTGGAGACTGAATATTTCAAACAGTTGCTTGAATAACAGCCTTTTTACTCTGCTCAAGGTTTAAAGACATATATTCAAAGGGCTCTCCTTCCAAAACTGCTTCAGCTCCCTTTTTAATAACACCAGCTGCCCTGGGGACACAGCAGGAGCCTCAGGGAAACAGAATCAATATGTATGACCTCGGCTAGTATCAGGTGAAGCGCAAACTGCTGCTTCTCAAGCTTAACAAGCCCCTGCTCTGCCCTTTTTCATCACTATTAGCCTGCATTTCACTTTAAGATCTAGCTGTTATTTACTAGAAACAGAGTACAAACCTAACTGCTTTCTACTGGGACGCCTCTACGAACGGAGCAGATAGCAAATAAAATATGTTAAAAGGGAGGCTGTCAAAAGCAGAATATTATGTGGGAATAGACCTTGTAAATTGGAGGTTTTCCTCAGCAATGATCAATGAACTCTGACATACCTTAATGGATTTTTCTTTGACAAACAACGTTTAACTCTCATATACAGGTGCTGGTCATAAAATTAGAATATCATGAAAAAGTAGATTGATTTCAGTAATTCCATTTAAAAAGTGAAACTTGTATATTATATTCATACATTACATACAAACTCATATATTTCAGATGTTTATTTTGTTTAATTTTGATGATTACAAATGACAACAAATGAAAATCTCAAATTCATCATATCAGAAAATTAGAATATTGTGAAAAGGTTCAAAATTGATGGCCCCTGGTGCCACACTCTAATCAGCTAATTAACTCAAACCACCTGCAAAAGCCTTTAAATGGTCTTTCAGTCTAGTTCTATAGGCTACACAATCATGGGGAAGACTGCTGACTTGACAGTTGTCCAAAAGACGACCATCGACACCTTGCACAAGGAGGGCAAGACACAAAAGGTCATCGCTAAAGAGGCTGGCTGTTCACAGAGCTCAGTGTCCAAGCACATTAATAGAGAGGCGAAGGGAAGGAAAAGATGTGGTCGAAAAAAGTGTACAAGCAAGAGAGATAACCGCACCCTGGAGAGGATTGTGAAACAAAACCCATTCAAAAATGTGGGGGAGATTCACAAAGAGTGGACTGCAGCTGGAGTGAGTGCTTCAAGAACCACCACACACAGACGTATGAAAGACATGGGTTTCTGCTGTCGCATTCCTTGTGTCAAGCCACTCTTGAACCACAGACAGCGTCAGAAGCGTCTTGCCTGGGCTAAAGAGAAACAGGACTGGACTGCTGGTGAGTGGTCCAAAGTCATGTTCTCTGATGAAAGTAAATTTTGCATTTCCTTTGGAAATCAAGGTCCCAGAGTCTGGAGGAAAAGAAGAGAGGCACTTCATCCACGTTGCTTGAAGTCCAGTGTAAAGTTTCCACAGTCAGTGACGGTTTGGGGTGCCATGTCATCTGCTGGTGTTGGTCCATTGTGTTTTCTGAGGTCCAGGGTCAACGCAGCCACATACCAGGAAGTTTTAGAGCACTTCATGCTTCCTGCAGCTGACCAACTTTTTGGAGATGCAGATTTCATTTTCCAACAGGACTTGGCACCTGCACACAGTGCCAAAGCTACCAGTACCTGGTTGAAGGACCATGGTATCCCTGTTCTTAATTGGCCAGCAAACTCTCCTGACCTTAACCCCATAGAAAATCTATGGGGTATTGTGAAGAAGAAGATGCAATACACCAGACCCAACAATTCAGAAGAGCTAAAAGCCACTATTAGAGCAACCTGGGCTATCATAACACCTGAGCAGTGCCACAGACTGATCGACTCCATGCCACGCCGCATTGCTGCAGTAATACAGGCCAAAGGAGGCCCAACTAAATACTGAGTGCTGTACATGCTCATACTTTTCATGTTCATACTTTTCAGTTGGCCAACATTTCTATAAATCCTTTGTTTTTATTGGTCTTCAGTAATATTCTAATTTTCTGATATGATGAATTTGAGATTTTCATTTGTTGTCATTTGTAATCATCAAAATTAAACAAAATAAACATCTGAAATATATGAGTTTGTATGTAATGTATGAATATAATATACAAGTTTCACTTTTTAAATGGAATTACTGAAATCAATCTACTTTTTCATGATATTCTAATTTTATGACCAGCACCTGTACTTCCAACAAACTGATGTTGCTTACCAGCTGCAGCCTAATAAAGCAGAACTAAGTGAATCATTAATAAAAGATACAGGTATCTCAGGTCCCGTAGGGCCTCCAGACAGAGTTTCCCTGGAATATTAATCATCCTGAGTGTTGCTTCCCATTCTGCCCCAGCATGGACCCTACAATTATCAATCTCCCAGCACACGCTAACGGAGCGCTAAATGAAAACAAAGGAGAGGTGCTTGGGAATAAAAAGCTATCTGTGTTGCTGTCTAATAATCGATAACAGAGCAAGCGGAGGGTGGAAGCATGGGTGTCTGCGAGAATCTCTTTTAGCCTTGAGTGTTTCACTTGTCTGATTACTAAAAGACTTCCTCGGAGTGAAAAAGGGGAAGTGGGGAGACAGCAAAGACAGACTCTGACTCTCAACGTTGTTCAAAAGCCATTTTTCACCACATGTGCTTGTGCAGAATCAGCATCCGTTCTTAGCAGGAGCAGAAAACCTGTCGGAAATTACGGATTCATTTTTATGTGTACAGAGGGAAAGGAAACAGCAAAAGAATTTGGTGAAAAGCTGATGTTGTTCTGTGAACGTAAATAAACATCTACATAAATTTCCCTGCTGTGTTTCTAAATCCCAATTATCCTAAAAAAAAAAAAAAACACAATCCATTAGTTGTTCCTGTTAGCTTAGAAATAATGAACACATGTGGTGTTGATTCCTTTGAACCCAAAATAAACACAATCAAAATGTTGTTTACAGATCCCGGAAGCAAAACAGTGCTCAGTTTAATGCTATTCTACACAGTTTTTCCAGTGTAGTGATTACTTTGTATGTACCGTGGGATTTGATGTGTACTGATTTGATCAGCCCCTAAAATGTGTTTCTTCCTGGATTAAAAAAACTATATCATTGTACTACATATATATCAGATCTGTTATAGCTGCAATATGATGCAAGCAAGGTGATTTCAGACTACATTCCAGTTGTTGTGGGTTTAAATAATTAAACTTTCATGAACACCTTGATTCCAGGACTTTGTTTGTTTGTTTATATATATATATATATATATATATATATATATATATATATATATATATATATAATATATATATGGGCATACCTTCTTTTGTGACCTATTCTTTTGTGACCTAATTTTAGGTAGGCGAGTCACTCCTGGCAAGGCTTTTAACTGTTCAATAATTTTTCTGTGTATTTATAACAGCTAACAGAGCCTTAGAAAGTGATTTTTTAAGATTTTGGAATGCTGCTTTTTGTATTTACTCAAGGTATCTCATATTGAAATTAATCTAAAACAATCTACTGTGACAAAAAAAAAAACAATAATAGAAAACAATGTCAAACTCAAACCACAGTAACAACCAAGGCATCTGTTGGAAAGTATTTTTGTGACATTTGTAGGTCCAACTGGGGGGCCACACATTCATAAACCTTTTAATGTTATGACTTTCCCTTTTCTGCCAGATATAAACAACTTAGAGCTGGTGATTTGTGACTGCTGGGCTTATGTTGGTGCCAGGTCTAAAAAGGACCTTTAATCTTTACTTCTCAAAGTGCTGAAGCACCTCAGGGATATAAAGCTGACCCTGTTAAAAGTTTAAAAAAAGTTTCCTTTAATGAGGGAAAATAAAGAATGATCTTGATTTGCATTCCAACTTTGCAAGCACAGGCCATTCCACACAATTAAATGTTATTTATCGACAATAAACTTCCTGAGAATGCTTACTCTCTTTCAAGCTTTGTGTGCTCTCCTGTATGTGTGTTCTTACCCTCCATACTGCATCCCGGGGCCATGCAGGGCTGGAAGTCCTGGGTGTGTGGACAAGGTACGCTGAGATCCAGCTGAGCCTTCAGCATCCTTTGTCTCATCCTGCGACCTTTGTCGCATGTCGAGCTGCTACAGGCTGACCAGGGAGACCAAGTGGAGTAGATGCACATCTCTGGTGTGTCGTCTAAGAGAGTTAGATGGACAGATCATGAAAGGATGAGGACTAATTTCATTTATTTCCTACAATTTGGGGAGATTTGAGGTGAAAAGGTCAATATAGGCAGTTTAATTTGCATTTGAACAGATTAATAACCTACCTCACTGCGGATGAGTCATCTAAATTTTTTTAGCTGCAGTGAGGATGGAGAAAATTACTTAACGCTGAATCCAAATGTGATTAGAGCACGTATCAGTCCACCAGAGTCCACTAAATTAAATCCAAGCAAGAAAAGAAGCTGCAGAGGGATTCAGGCTGACCCTAAGAAAGGAGTCTGATTTGTGAACGTCTCATCCAATTATGAGAGGAAGCAGAAGGATGAGAAGTAGCAGAGGTATGGGCTTCAATTATTTTTTTTCTCCTGGGAAATTGGGAGGAAGAGGTGAGAGAGACTATAGCACTGAACCTGGAGGACAAACCCAAATGGACCCAGTGCTTCAGGACAGCACATAATGACAGAGGAAAATGAAAGAAGAAAGGAGCTGAAGAGGTAAAGTGAGAGATGGGTGGATCTGTAGGTGAAAGCATTAAGGGTCTGGGCAGAGCAGAGGGAGCAGCTTGAATGGAACATTTCCTCTTTGGTGTCAGCTCACATAGAAACAAGAAAGCAATGCTGGACAGGTGGAGGGACAGAGAAAGGAAAAAGGAGTCTGGAAGCAGGAGGCCGGGGGGACAATCACTACAGAAGACATTTATTAGACAGCCAGAAAGTCAAGATTTCTTAAGACAAAGATAAAGTAATTTAATGCAAAAATAGGTATTAATGTTATGATGCAAGGAAGGAAAAAAATAGTACTTTGATTAAATTAAGTGATATCTAAAAAAATAAAATAAAAATGCAAATATCTATTAAGAATCAGCTCTAGTGTGAAAATAATCTATAAAATTGACTTTCAGGTGCTCCCACCAAACTGATGTTGAATATAAATATTTTACTATTTAAATTGGAGTAGATTACACATTAAAAGAGAACTGAATGCATACAAATATAAATTGTTTACAAGGGATGATGATGGATGGACAAGGATGATGATGGATGCATTCTATGTTGAATGTTTGCTTATTTCTAGGACAACATTAAATGTGTTTCACAAGCTTCTGACCATACTGTAGGACTGGGATGAATAAAACTGCCTTAAATACTGTTTTGATTTGATAAAGTTTGATAAAAGATGAAACCAGCTTGCTTTTTGAAAATGTCTCAAGATGACTCAGAAATTCACACTTTATAAATGACTGAAAAATAAATAACACGGCTTACAAAATATGTGCACCATTTGAACCTTTTCCTTTTTGTAAAATAAAAAAATGCAACTAAATTTAATTTAACTTTTTGCAACAAATTCAAACAAAGTTATTATAACTGAGAACTCATTGTAAAATGTTAAGGTGACTCAAGCTCGGTGTATTACTCAGTGCTAGGTTTTTGTACCAACCACTGAAAGGGAATACAGTCAGGCAGGATTATAGACCAATCAGAATAACTTTGGGGTGCCTTGTCAGTGCGACATCAACTTTTGGCAGATTATTAAATTCAAACAAACTTACAACTTTCCAATTCTGAGACAACTGTTCTTCTGATTATGAAACAGTGTCCTGCAAATGAAATCCCTTTCTTTAAAAGTATCCCCGCAGCATGATGCTGCCATTACCATGTTTCATAGAAATGTTAGAGGCAAATGCAGTTCTACTTTTGCTCATGAGATTAACATATTGCACAGAATTTTATTACACAAAAAAACAACAACAAAACGTAAGTTAAAGGAATAGTACACCCAAAACATGATTAGCCTTCATTTTCTACTCACCCCCATGCTGAACAACACTCTGGAGTACTTTTTTGATATCTCAAATGCATCTGGAGATCTGGGAGGCTTCTTGCTGTCTGCTGACATTCAAATAATGGAGGTCTATGTCGCCCGAGGCAGAAAGGTCCATAAAAGTCCACAAAAAACGTGTCAATATTCCTCCATACTGCTCGTCCAATGTATTCCAAGTGTCCTGAGTGGGTAGCGTCCATAATTTACTCGAAACGAAGTCATTTAGAATGTTTTTAGAGCATAAACAGTAGTGTATAGGATTTCCTGAAAGCGCGTTCACGAGTCTACGGAAACCGCGGCAGACCAAACCAGATGAAAGTGCGCATTCAGCTCGGCAAAGAACTCATGCTCTTCCTCAACACTGAAGTCCTCAGACATTTTTCTTTCGTTGTTTCTTTCTTTGCACAGGTAAACAGCACATTTCTTCTTCTACGCTTGCATTATCGGCAGAGCAGACGCTGAATGCGCACTTTCATCTGGTTTGGTCTGCTGCGGTTTCCGTAGACTCGTGAACGCGCTTTTAGGAAATCCTATAACACATATATGTGGGAGAAGTCATGGATTACAGCAATCCTGTTGGATACAGAAGTGTGAAATCTTTTAGTTTGATTGTGAATACCGTATTTTCACGACTATAAGGCGCACTTAAACGTCTTTTTTTCCCCTCAAAATGTGCGGTGCGCCCTATGGTGCGGTGCGCCTTATGTGTGTTGTAACTGCGACTTTTGAGACCACCTCATTGAGGAGATGATGAAAGAGTGGCTGAATGTAAGGAGACCAGGTGTTTTTTTTCCACCCCTCACCATCGCTGTTAATATGTAACTCCATGCGTGCCCATCTCACAGCTGATGTGAAAAACATGGGGAAACAAATTAACGCTGCTCAACATCGGTGTGAACCGGACCCAGCAGGTGCAGCAGAAGCAGCGAGTTTACATGCAAAGTCAATGGTTGACGCGCATATAGGTGCAGCAAAAGGTCCCGCAGCGCGTTTTGGTGCAGCACGTCGGGAGCGTTTAAGCATCTGAAGCGCCGCGCTTCTGCTGCTCGAGATGGAAAAATGGAGGTTTTGCTGCTGGACGCGCCGCATCAACCAATCAGAGAAGCTGATCTGGGAGCTGCCAGCGAGACAGACAGCGCTCTGATGACATATGATATTAACGCAAATGAAAAGGCTGGGTGGATGTGTGGCTGAGGCAGGTGTATGTGAGAAGACTAGGTGGTTTTTTCCACGCATCACCATCGCTGCGTGCCCATCTCACAGCCGATGTGAAAAAAAGGTGAATGAAATGAACGCTGTGCTCGCCGTTATCCCGGGGGGTCTGACAAAGGAACTTCAACCGCTCGACATCGGTGTGAAGCAGCCGTTCACAGTAAGGCTGCAAGCGGCGTGGGAGCGATGGATGACCGACGGAGACCACAGTTTCAGGATAAGAAGGCAGCGCCGGGCAGATTACGCCACAGTTTGCGGATGGATTGTAGATGCTTGGACTAACGTGTCTGCTGGCTCTGTTGTTCAAGCTTTCGCAAAAGCCGGCATTATTTCTGAGGAGCTGCGCTGCACGGAAAGTGACTCTGACAGCGCAGATGGGGAAACTGGCATGTCTGATTTAGCGCAGCTGTTTAATTCAGAAACAGAGGATGATGACTTTGATGGGTTTGATTAATACTTTGTAATAAATACATGAATAAAGCACAATCATACTCAGTTTTGCTCCCGCTGTATTTTTCTCCCTGAAAACTTAATTCAACAGCATCCCCGGCGCGTCTCCTCCTCTTCATCGCGGTGGCTGGCAGGTGTTTTTTCATCTAAATAATCTAAATCTTGCAGCTATATTTGCTGTGATCAGTGGGAATAAAGTAGTTTTAATATGTTTTTAAGTGAGAAAGTCCACCTGAAAACTTAATAATTGCAGTCAGTTCATCCAGATTATCTATTTCTGTCGGAGGCGCTCAGACCCCCACATACCAGCGGTGCGCTGACAGCAGAAATCTCTTCATCAGCAGCCTGTAGGCTGGGCAGCCTGGGGTTCACCGCGGCTGCTGGCAGGTGTTTTTCATCTAAATAATTTAAACTGCAGGCACCAGGATACCGGTAATAAAAGCGAACATATTCTGTCGGCAGGTTTCAGGATTTTAAGTTAATTTAGGAGTGATCACAGCGCTGTGTCATCTGCAATGTCTCTGTCTCACGGCCAGCTGCCAGGTTTGATTAATACTTTGTAATAAATACATGAATAAAGCTCAGTCATACTCAGTTTTGCCCCCGCTGTATTTTTAAATACGCAGTAGAGGTATTTAAAGGTAGTAGAGGACATGTACCTGTATATAAAAAACGCGCCCTATAGTCCGGTGCGCCTTATGTGTGTGTTAAATACAGAAATGGGACACATAACTGAGAGTGCGCCTTTTAGTCCGGTGCGCCTTATGGTCGTGAAAATACGGTATATTTCAAGACAGAGGTACTATCTGTCCAGAAAGTTGAATCAGAAAGTGGTAAATGCAGCTCCTTCTATTGCATTCGATCCACCTTAACAGCCAATGTTGCTGCTGTTAGTTCCAGTCTGGGTATGGTCATCTGCTTTAGAGGTGCCACTCTAGCTTTTCCAAATATAAAGCAGATATGGATTTGACCTTGGTGATTTGTTAATCTGAGGTAGCTTACTGTACCATAGCCTGACTCACTTGCATCACAAAAGTGATGCAGTTCAGCAGTTTCCACGGGATCAAAGTTTTCAGGCTTCATGCACCTTGCAACTTGAAAGTCATGTAGCAGATTTAACTCCTTGAGCCATCTTTGCCAAGGCTTTGCAAATTCCTGGGGAATGACATGATCCCACCCATACTTGGATTTGCAGAGTTCCTGAAGTAACTGTTTGGCTTTCAAGATGAAAGGAGAAAGAAATCCTAATGGGTCGTATACTGAACTGACTGTGGAGAGTATACCTCTTCTGGTAGCAGGTTGACTCCTGATGGTGACTTTAAAGCTGAAGGTATCACTGAGAGTATTCCAGTGGAGTCCAAGTGCAGACTCAACTGTTATTTGTTCTTTCAGCTTTTCTTTATCCAGATCTAGTTCCTTGAATGCTCCAGCTCTGTGATGTTCAGGGATGCTTGCCAGCACTTCATTGCTGTTGCTGACCCATTTTGTTAATGTAAAACCTCCCTCACTGCAGATTTTGGTGAGATCTGTGACAAGCTTCATTGCCTGGTTCACTGTTGCCACTGATCGGAGGCAATCATCTACATAAAAGTTACTTTTAATGGTTTTGATAATTTCATCAGAATAATCTTTCTGGTTGTCAGCAGCAGTTTGACGCAGAGCAAAATTAGCAATGCTTGGGGATGATACAGAGCCAAAGAGGTGAACTTTCATCCTGTAAACCTCAAGAGGTTTGTTAATGTTACCTTCTGGCCACCACAGAAACCTCAGCAAATCTCTGTCATTTTCATCAACAAAGACTTGATAAAACATTGCTTCAATGTCTGCCATTACTGCAATGGGTTCTTGGCGAAACCCTTAACAATACCCCAATAAGGGTGTTTGTTAAATCAGGGCCTTGGAGGAGCTCCTTGTTCAGAGAGGTTTCTTGAAATGAGGATGTACAGTCAAACACCACCCTCAGTTTGTGCTTTCGCTTATGGTAAACACCATGATGTGGAATGTACCAGACATGTCCATCCTTCCTGCAAAGCTGCTCAAATGGAACCTTTTCTGCATAGCCCTTTTTCAAAATGTCCTCCATGAAGGATGTGTATTCTTCTGTGTACAACTTATCCTTCTTAAATTTTTTCATAAGGTGCAGTGTGCGTTCCTTAACCATTTTATAGGTATCAGGCATAACTTTATCTTTATTTCTAAAAGGAAGTGGTAGGTGGTAGTGTCCATCTTTCATATACAATGAGCCAGAAGCAATCTCCATAAAACGCTTATCCTCAACAGACATCTCATTTTTCTCTTCATACAGGTTCTCAGAGAAATCCTGGTTATATTGTCTGATGAGCCTATCCTTCAATTCAGTAACAGAAATTCTGTTACTGGACACTGCAATAGGCCCATCATATTCTGTGGTACTATCAACACCAAGTGGTCCAGTTACCACCCATCCAAGTACCGTTTCCACTGCATAGGGTCCATTATCATGGCTGTTTATTATTTTCCATGGCTCTAATGCTCGAGGAACATCAGTTCCAATGAGGAGTTCAATGTCTGCCTCGATTTTCTTTAAAGGGACACTCCTGAGATGAGGCCACATCTCCAGGTCAGCTTGTGTGATGATGTTTTCTTTTGAGACAGGTATTTTATCCTGTGTGTAAACTTTCGGCAGGTCCAAGTATGTGCAGCCATCCAAATCTCCCACCTCTATTCCTCTAACTTCGTAGGTTCCTGCAGACTTTTCCTGTCCCATTGTTCGCAGAAGTATCTCTGTTTTGCGTCCTTTCAAATTTAGCCGGTTCTGGGTACCTCTGGGTAATCTTGTGCAGTTTCAGATGTGTTATGATCATAAATTGCAGCTTCAGTTTCACTTTCAGTGGGATTCTTATTTTGGGGTTTATTCTCTGCTGTCCTTAATCTACTGGGAGACGATTTACATCTCTCCAAAATGGTCCGTTGAAGTGGAGTCTTTGGTATAGCACCTAAATGCATAAATTCCACATTACCCTCTATCGAATGTGGTTCTTGATGAGAGCTATAATATTCATTCATGCCGTCACCTAAAGACGGTTCCTGGTCCACCTCATCACTTTGCAAGGTCTTTATTTTAGCATTTGATGCTGCAAGATCAGCTTCTAGCTCAATTTGCTCCATCTTTAACTTTAATTTTGCTTCCTCCATTTGTAAAGCATGTTTTTGTTTTAAGGCATCTACTCGTGCCAGTGCAGCAGCCTGTTCTGCTTTGGCCTTTTTTAACTCTGAAGAGACTGAGGAAGATCTTGATGTGGAAGAAGATGACTTTGATTTCTTTGAAACATTAGATATGCTGTCTGATGGTTTGATTGTTGATTGTACAATGTCTTTTTTCCATGTTTCGACATCTTTCAATAAATAGTTTAAGTTAGTTATTCGAGGCTCAAACCAGTCATTATAATCATTTTCCCTTTCGTCCTCTGATAAGAGCTCTTGAACCAACCTATGAGCATTTTTAAACTCATCCACGGCTTCCTTAAATGCTTGTACTAAATCATTGACTTCATCAATATTTCCTGCATCCGTCATCAAAGCCTTTATTTCATTAATCTTTCTAGTGCAGGCTCCCAATCTGCCTCTGCGCGAAAGGACGCGCTCTTTTAACATGTTCTCAGACGCAGGCGTGGATTTAGGGTCCAACATTGTTAATGACCACACCGATCTTTTCACTTTCAAATAAGTTCATCAATAAGCATCCTTCTTTGAAATCAACAGCTTTGCTTTCTGTAGTTATTGATCATTCTTTGTAGCGCAGCGGCGCCTTCATTCATAAACTCAGTCAGCTGATTGTACTCACGGCCCGCTGGCTGCTTTCTTTGCGCAATCAGAGCGTGATCGGCTGGCAGCTCCAGACTTTAGGCTCTTCTTCAAGTCATCAGTGAAGTTTTTTCACTTGTTGCGGCTACTCTTGCATCAAAAAAGTTTCCAAAAAAATCAAAAATTGCCAGAGTAGTCTTAGGAGGAGGTTTTTCGACACTCGTGGAGAATTTTCTTGTTTCAAAATAAGGGTGCTTTCTTTACTAATAAAAAATAACAGAAATATTCTCAGAGTTGACTTACAAAAATTCAAATATAAAGTTAAGTGATGTGTGTGAAAAAACTGTTGCACTCCTCACTCCTTCAAACAAACAATCAGATCCACCTCATCAGCTGCTTCTACTTGTTAATCTCAGCGGGAGTCAATCTGTGACCTCAGCTTTATGCCCTTACTAAGGGGTTAGACACCAGATGAGATTATGATCCCCCCCCGGTATGCAGCTTTTCTGGACTTTCAGTGGCTTTCGTCCATTTTTCCTTTGGAGTCTGTGAGTGGGACTCGTTTTATTGTTTGCTAGTCTATTTTTGGGTTTGCAGGACCTATAGAAGTTGCATCCCTTGGCCACCATGTAAAAAATCTTTCTTTTCCCACTTATCCATTAATGTGAAATTTGTGGAATATCATAGTTGGAATTATCTCTCTTAGCATTCATAGCTTTCTCTAGCCTTTCTAGAGTTACCATGGATTCTTTGTGTGCTACAAGAACAATACTGCTCTCCACACTTGGTCAATTGAGTTGGAATGGCTTGATAGGTTTCTGGTTTTTCAACACTGTTTATAAGGTCGGATGATGAAGTAAAAATTGCTGCTAAGATGTCGTTGGATGTTCTTTTATAATCTGTAGTGTATGACCTGATCTGAAAAATCTCTTTTGTTAACTTTTGTTGTCTAAGAAGTACAGTCATTACTCTAGAAATGTCAATAAAAACATTATCCTTTTTCCTGCTTTGAAAAATAACACATTCCATTCTGTTGGTTTGTCATAAAATCTGACAAAGGTTAGAAAAGTTCAAGAGACAAATTTCATGGTCTTCTATTCAGGTTTTCTGGTGGATCATTTTAGAGAGTCAGAGCATTTGGGTTGGACCAAATGTAACAAGCAGCTGTATTTGAAACGGAGAGGATGTTGAACCCAAAGGTGAGGCTCCGCAAACGTAGGAGCTTTAGCTTTACTGCAGGTTAAAGCTAAAGATCTGCTGGATCCATAAGTCATTGTTTCATCCCAGCTGCCCAAGCTTCATCTGAAACAAGCTGTGTCTGTAATGAGCACAGTTTGCCTTATTCCAACAGAGCCTCCTGGATATGTGAGCTTCAGCGTTTTAAATGTTGTTAGGCTTCTTTTCTAATTAGCTGTAATAAAGAGAGTTTCTGTTTGTGTGTTTTATTTTACCTTCCACCTTCTCCTCCTGTCCAATGTCCGCCACTATGTCATCAATGGTGTCTGGAACCACATTACACTGCTCCCCCTGTGCACAAAGGGACAATGTGCTTACATGCTGGAAACCTGAGACAAAGATATCATTTAGTCTTTGTTTTTTTTTTTTACCTTTAGAAAAACCTTTGAAATGGACAAAGACAGAAAATAATACCAACCTGACATTTGGGCTATGTGTGTTTCTTGCACCAATTTAGAAATGAAAGTAATAATTACAACACAAAGCTTTACAATTTGACTTTATGATGAATTCTGCATACCTCGCCAACTTGTTTGCTATCCATGGGTTTTTACTAGAAACTGCTGAGTGGACTACTGTTGCCAAAGCAACAAGTCGCAGCTTGGTTGGCCTTTTTAACTTGCTGCTTTTTTTTTTTTTTCTTTTTTCTCCTAATAGGTTGGAACTAATATGGTGGAGTAGTTGAAGAAAGGAGAGTCCTCCAGGTGTCGTCCATTTATGGTGCTGCTTGAAAATAGATTTCTTTGCTCTCAAGCCACGTTGTAATCTCGAGCAAGGCTAGTGAAGATGAGACGGTTCTTGCTGCTGTTGATCTGTGCTTCAAAATGTTTTTGAATAACAGTAAGCCTACATGACAATTTCATGGAAATTTTGTATGTTTATTTATTGTTAAATATTTGTTGGTTCTGATAATTTTGTATTCTAATAAATATGTATTGCAACTTTATTGGGTTGAGAGTATATTTCATCAACAAAATAATGTCTAATTAAAATTGCAATATTAATAACAGTTGTTATATATTGAAATCATTATCGTAATTACAGTAAGATATAATTATTTTTAGATTATACAAACAATCCATTTGTTATTTTAAGAAAACTAAACCAAATTGTTGGGGTCAATTACATTGGCAGGGTTATGAACTACTCAAATTGGGTTATTTTTAACCAAATATTTTTTAGTTTGCATTTGAGCTCTCCTTCTCCTCACTCTCCTTTTCCACATTGTCTGCTGTATCATCTGGCTGCTTCCACTGCTTAATAGCTTTAAATCCATCCGTAAACACTGACTTCTGACATGTCTTGTTATTGATCATCTTCACATGCGATTCACTTCTGCTCCCAGCGTGGTTTGACATGACTTGTTGTTTCTCTGTGCATGCAGGACATTTTCAGGGCCACAATTTGAGACATTCATGTGAAGACCAGAACAAAAAAAATTAGATCCAACAAAAAAGTGTTGGTGTTGTGTTATCAATAATATCTAATATATCTTATTTCTAATATTATATAATACAAAAACACAGAATTGAGTACTTGTTTTTTAAAGTCGTAGGGAAATCATATTTAAATGTCAAATCATTCTGACTTAAGCATGTATATAAATGTACTCTTTATCAGACAAAATTGTCCCAAAAGTTAGAAAATTTCTGTCTTAAAATCTGTGGTGTTTTTTTGTTTTGTTATTTTAATGCAGGCCGGTTAGTTATGTGTCAGCCTGTACACCTAAATTCGGCCAATCATAAATCAACGGTCATCTGTCAATCTAATTTTTTCGGTCATAGCACTGTGATTCGTATGAAGCAGCCAATATACGCAACAGTTGAAATAAGAATAGTTTCTTTCCCATTGAGTTGCGTCCCAGTGTTCACTGGGATAGACGTCTGTGTCTTCAGCAGGCGTAGAGCTAACAGAACTGGCAGCGTTGCGAAAAACATGTATGGCTGTAAGCCTTCTACACCAAACCAAGCTTCTGCCGCCCTGGCGTCCTCTTCCACAACAACTTTGTCCCAGCTTTCCTCCTCTAAATAAAAAATGTATGATGGAGGAGACTCATCCACGACCTCTGACATCAAACTCTCCTCCTCTTGCATGTTTCTGCTGTCCATAGCATTCCTTGACAGTGTTGTTGCTAAGTGCTACTCGGTCCCAATGTAATTTCCCATTGGGAACCTACTAGCACTAAGTTGCTAGCAAGATTCTTCCGAAAAACCAGACACCACCAAACTTGCTTGCGAACCTGCCGCCACATCAATCCCGCCCCCTTGATAATCGACCAATCACATTCATTTTATTCACTCGTGTAAAGTTGTTTACCATTCGGGAGAATTTGGAAATGCAACGGTTGGAACAGCCGCTTCCCTACGACTTTAAAGATTTTAAACATGTTTTAAACTAAAACATGATGGGCTGCCAGTGGCTTACCCTGGTGAAGCCTACCTTCAAGTGTAGCCAGTTTTCTGGGGGGAAGCCAATTAGCTACATTTTATATTGTATCGTTCATAATTGTACCAGATAAATGCCAGTAGTGTGTGTAGAAATGTATACACACATTAAAATCATTATTGTCAATAATTTCTATGTCATCAATATGGTGACACAATAAAAACAGTGAATACTTTACCTTCCTTGCAATACGTTCCACAACTACCCGAGCAACAGGAGTAATGGCCCCACCTTCTGGGTCATAGAACGGGCTTTGAGAATGATCCAGGCTGGTCAAAGGTCGAATTTTCTCCTGAGGAACGGTGGGCTTGTTTGGTGACTGAAAGAGCCCAAAGGAAAAATGTCAATGATCTGTTAAATACAGTGTAATAATCTTAAATAAAAGAATTAAAATCCACTTCTGCACAAAAAAGGATAAAATGGGACCCACAATGCAGGCAGGAAGGAATGGAGCAGCAGGGTAATTAAAAAAAAAAAAAAAAAATTTACAGCTTGTCTTAAGGAGATCAGGATATAAAGCATGAGCAGAAAGAGAGACATGGAAAGAGGATTATTCCACGGGGAATAATAATAATAATAACAAGTTAATAATAAGTTAAAGGACCCTAAGAATAAACTAGAAGGCTAAATGCAAATAAAAGCCCAAACATGAAAAAAAATCCCTAAAAACTATCATTGGAAAAAAAGTGAACTGGAAGGAAAAACTCAATTAGCAAAAGCCACAGAAAAAGATGGAAAGGAATGTTAGAAGATAATAAACACACAAACAAATGAACACAAATGGAAGAACCCATCACCTCAAATCATGACAAACAAGACCATCACCTGATCCTTTTGTCGACTGAGTGGACGGTTCAGGAATAACTGATTATGTTTACATCAAGCTTAGGTACAGTAATCTAAAACAACTCCTGCATAAGAGATCATATTTCTTTGTTATAGTTAACAAACATTGGATTTCATTGTTCCTCTTCCAGTGTAGGTAGCAATTTATTTATCTGTTAGTTTATATTTACAGTTTTCCTCATTGTTCTATATTTTCGGCCTGTAAACGTCTACAGATAGGTTCATCTGTCATCATCTCTACTGTTTTGTTTTTCGTTAAATTTGTTCTGTTGCTGGTTCGTCTTTATCTTCTTCTTCTGCATAATTTACCGTTTTTCAGATTTCTCTGCTGGCCCTACTAGTTTTGATTGGAGCTGGAACAGTAGTAGCCATTCAAAATTTCCCCACTTTCATTTATTATCATTTATAAATTTCATTTATTAATGCATTATAAAATTCTATGGTGCAAAAAGTGAGGAGGCCCATGGAGTGAGTGTATGTGGCTATTTCTGATACAGAAATAGCATTTATGTAATTAAAATATCTATTTCATTCTAAATTCCTACTTTTTCATTATCTTATTTTTGAACTATTCACACTTGTTGAAGACATTATAACAATAAAGTCTTTCTAATTACTCCTGAGAGGTCTACAGAGAGATATTTTATTTTGTTATTTAACTTAATTTTATAAAGTTAAGGAGGATTTAATCATATATATATATTAAACAGAAAGTTGGTCATCTCTGGTGTAGGTATAATTTTAATAAAAAATTCATATTTTTTTTATATGTGGTTTTACTGCTTTAGTTTTGAAACCAGATTTCATTTGATTTTGTATGCGGTATGGCTTTTATATATTTATAACCATACTGCATTTCATAAGGTATGCCATCATTCTGATACTGACCAGAATGTATTAAGCCTGCCATATTTATCAAGGTTCATATCATCCGTTGCAAGTATGGAGATGGAGAGAAAGAGGGGAAGAAGAGTGATAAACAGGGAAATGCAACAGGTTGGTCTAACACTAAATTGAAGTTTATGAACAGCCATCAATATTTGTTATATTGAAAACATTAGCAAGATTGTAATATATTCAAACCTATTAAATAATGCCAGTTTGACAATACTACTTATTGCAAAGAAGAAAAATTACATTAAACACATATTTCAGTCTAGTAAAGACTAGCGGGGTTTTCCATGGTGTTCTTCTTTTTATAAAAGGGTTCTTTGGGAAACCATCTCCAGTTCTAGAAGAGCTCCCAAAACTTTACTATCTTGTTGAGCTTTTTTAAGTTTTTGCTCTGATGTTGTTACCCCAGCAGATGGTACAGCAGACTTATTGAAGATATGTTGCGTGGTGATGCAGCTAAAGGATCTTCCCTAAGCGGTATAGTCTGCTGTAACTGCTATTGTAGACAGCTTAACAGTGCTGTCTCCAGTTGCCTGTTTTCTAGGTAAACACTGAGGGAGTTAGCAGTGGTATATGTTTCATCAGTTTAATACTGGGTCAGGTAATCATGATCCTTGAAGTGTATTTTTTTGCTAAAACAAGTGTTAACATAATGACAATGGTGGTGTGTAATATGTACTAAGGTTAAAATTGTGGAGTAGTTCCTTCACAGAAATTTAGAGAAGATAGATTTTTGACAGTATGCACTTCATGCTGTCATGATCTGCCCTGATAGCTGACCTTAATTATTCATGTCTTTGACCACCTGCTTAATTAATTCTGCCTGGTCTCTAATCATCTCTGATCCCATCCACCTGGACATTCTGCTTTATATTGAGCTCAGTTCAGCTATTGGGTCCAGATCATATTTTGCTTCCTGTTTGTTGTTTGGTTTATTTCTAAGGTTCATGTCTTCATTCCCGACTGCCAGTGGATTGAGAGGTTTAGTGTTTGTCTTGTCTTCTGGTCCTGTACTGGCCCTTCTCTACGGGGAATCAGGGATTTGGCTCAGAATGCGGGGAAGGTCGGTTTTATTCCCGTAAGCCTGGCTCCTAGGATAAAAACCAGTTTAAAGTCCTGCAGAAATCCTGGTACCACCTATTGTCTCTGTTCCCTCAACCACTGAGTGTTAGAAATCCAGTTTGTGTGTTTCCTTTTTCCACCACCAGGAGGTGCCCTGTCCTCGCCATCCCTTGCTGCACACCTGCGGCTCATTGGACCATTATCTGGAGGAGTATTTTAGCAGTGGGCTGTCACTACCTCGACTGTTTGCCAGTTTTGGGTTCTCTAGTCAAGCTGAGATTAGTTTAGTATAACCTAGCTTTGTTTCTCTGAGTCTAACCAGTTCTTGTCTTTGCTCTCCGGCAGGAAGCTTTCCTGTGTTACTGGATACCTGGACCTTCTCCCCTCTGGAAGGAAATACCGAGTTTACACTGAGCAGGGGAAAACCTCCACATGTTCCGTTTAAGTTCCCATCGGAAATCTGAGTGACAGTCCGCTCCATTACTCTTCCGGGTCCAACGCCTGTCTACCTGTGCGCCCTCCAACGTGTGCTCTTTTCACTGGATACCTCACAGAGACTGGATTCAAGGACTAACCAGGCCTCCCTCAAACCTGAGTCCCATTCCTGCATTATCTAAGACCATCCAAGATTCCCACAGACCCTGAACTGACTTCTGAACTTCCCTTCTCACTTCCAGTTCCGTTTCACCAGCTCACTGAGTACCAGATCCTACTCCTGTTGACTTCCACAATAAACCTGTTAAACTTTTACCGTGCCCTCTGAGTGGTTTCTCTGCATATGGGTCAGATTCGTAAAACCGATCATGACCCTGAGCCTGCCTGTCTGCACGTGATCCTGCCTGTCTGCATCTGTGCCTGTCTCTCTGAGCACGCTTCTGGACTCGTGGAACTCTGAACCTGCCTTCATGCTCTGAGGATTCCTGGAAGCCTGGATCCCTCCGTTCCTGTTTGGATAGTAACGGATCTGTTTTCCCCTGACCTGGATCGGCCTACTGCCTGTTCTCCAGGGCTGCAGCATCGGGGAAACTCTGGGCAGCTAAGGGCCGCATCTCGTTAGTAGTGCATTGGCTGATCCAGCCTATAATTGAGATGATGGACTGAACTGTTAAACAAGAGTGTCAGTGATTGACCCGCCCCCCTCCCACATCCGCTTCAGTCTGTAGTTCAACAGCAACCCACCTATGTGCCTTTTCTGTCTGTTTATTTGAATAAACGTTTACTTTCCTACTGACTGGATCTTGAATACTCAGTCCATCTGTTCTGTTCTATGACACATGCACTATATAGTAATAAGACTAGCAAAATAGTGTATCATTATCAAGGATAATTAGTCACTTTTTTGCCTTGTAAAAAACTAGATTTAGGAAGGCAGTCAAACTTAGAACACTGTCAAAAAAGATGAAAACTACAACAGACAAGAGAGTTACTTGGAAAAGTCCCTCAAATCACATTCATCTTAAACAAGAGCGTAAATAAAGCCCCACTTTTTTGTTTTTACTTTTAAATAATGATATTCACAAAAATGCAACCATGATGTGAGCGTTAATGCTTGCATAAAAGAAGAATGAATTTGCTCATGAAGCCCCCAACACTCAAGAAACACTCTGTCTTTAATAACAACAACACCTGGTTTTATGTGAGGGAAGTTTTTGAAAAGTATTTACCATCTCCCCTCTGCAGGATAGGCGCTATGCGTATTCATGAGTGCAAACTATAAATAAATTGCTCTAGTCTCAAAACAGTTGGTGAATATGGATGAGCCCCTTTTATTTCAGGGCTGTAAAGTTTTTCACAGAAAGTGAAACTGAAAAACACTCTGATGCTGCATTTTATAAACATAAAGGCTGATTTAGATATACTGCTTGTTGTTGCTTGATTGCACAGCGGGGCAGTGGGTAGCACTGCTGCCTTGCAGCAAGAAGGTTCCAGGTTAAATTCCTGGCCGGAGGTCTTTCTGCATGGAGTTTGTATGTTCTCCCCGAGCATGCACAGGTTCTCTCCAGGTACTCCGAAAACATGACTTAGGTTAATTGGCCTCTCTAAATTCTCTTTAGACGTGAGTGTGTGCATGAAAGGTTGTTTGTCCTGTATGTCTCTGTGTTACTCTACGACAGACTGGTGACCTGTCCAGGGTGTACCCCACCTCTTGCCCATAGACAGCTGAAGATAGGATCAAGCACCCCGCAAGACCCAAGCAGGGAAAAGCTTGATGAAAAACGGACTGCAAATATGCAAATATGCACTGCAAATATGTGTGGTACCACACAAACACAAAGCATGTGCAATGAAGTGCAATGAAGCTCATTGTTTCTAGTGTAGAAACAATGTTAAGAAAAGCTGCAAACTAGCTGTGCATCACAGACGTGCTCCAAACCACTAGGGGGAGACAATCAACACATATGAGACTGTGGAGATTAGTATGTGTAAATGTTGATTAACCAGACAGACCCTAACTCTAAATCCCATTGTTTCAATCAGGCTGCCTTCAAACTGAAGGAGTCCTACAGAGCTTGGTTGACTTGTGGGGCTTCTAAAGCTCCATACAGGTTCTGTGAGGCCAAGCAGGCTGCTGACAAACACTCAGGCCTGGCAGGAGTGCCCCTGAACTGGCAGACTGGGATGGTGCCCTGGGCTTCCACCAGAGGAGTTGTTACCCCTCGCTCCATAAATGTTGGCATACTATGGAAGAATATTAATTGAACCTATTAATACAGTACTCAGCTGTCTGTTAGCACAATGTCAGGACAGACAGAAAACATAACTGACTTTAGAGAAGCAGTCTTGTGCCTCAGAAATCTAAATTATTTGTAGTATATAAGAGAGTATATAAATATAGTATATAAGTGATAAAGATCTTTTTACAACAGGAAAACATTTAGGATACCTGCCGGTCTTTCTAGGAGGAGGAGTATCAGTAACTTTGCCCCTATCTTCTAAGAAATTATGTAAAAAAAAAAAAAAAGGAGTTTTATCTGAAACTTTAAAAAACATCAATTGTTGAGCTTGATCTCAGTCAAACTAAAGAAAAGTTATAGTTTGTTTTGAGCCCATCTGGCTTTGAGTAACAGTACCACATTTAAAATAAACTAGAGCAAATCTTCATAAACACCTTTTTACAAACTACCAAGCACAACAATGAAGTGGTGATGATATTGGCTTGCTCTGCAGTCATTATCTTTAACATAAACTCTCCAAAAGCCAAAGCACTGTGAAGTTAAAATGAAGGCCAATTGTCTAAGAGCCAATGCTTGTTTCTAATTGGGTTATAAACAGCATCATGATCTCAAAAACAACAGTCAATCTGCAACACACTGGTTAGGAAAAAGAAAAGAAGAAGAAAGTGTTGCAATGGTCCATTCTAAAGCTGTACATCACTGTAAAGCTGTGATCTCTCCAGAAAGATGTGCAAGAACAAATGTCTTCACAAGATAATGAACTAAACTGCTGAAGAAAAGTTATTTAAGGGGTCTCTTTAAGTCAATTATACACAAACAATATGTCAGGTGAAAGCTCTGATTTTTTTTTTTTTTGCTGACCCCAAAACAACCCTGAACTGGATGAAAAGATCCTAACATTTCTTATAATTCATGTATTTCTGTGATGGCAGTGCGGCATGGAAACATTTCCAGTAATCTGTCGCTAATGTACCTACATGCCTCATCTTTTGACTTAATGGCCTCTTTTTCTGATTTATGTTGCTGTTATTTTTTAATGACCGTCATGATGATAGATCTTGTGAGTTCTCCACATTTATCTAGCTGAGATGCTGGTTTGGGACTACAGGAGTATGGTTCATCTTTTAGGTATCAAACTTTGTAAAAACAAACAAAAAAACAAACAAACATGTAATAATAAATAAAGTAAGATTTAGTACCTCATATGTGACACCGCTGTCTGTGCCTGCGTCCCATGGGATGAGGTCTGCCACAAGTTTCTGGACCCAGCCACAGTCCTTGGTGCAGAGATCCTCTCCTGACAGCCCCACATTCCAGTCTGGGCTTGGCCCAAGCATAGTGAGGAAGGACATAAGATGCCGGGTCCGATCCACAGAAAACTCTGCTGAGGGAGCTGCTCGCCTGGTTTAAGTGGAGGGAACATAAAGCAAAATCAATAAAGTGACAAGAAAAAGTATTTACCACTTAATAGTATCTTCTGTTTCTGTGTGTTCATTTAACCAGAAAGATCCAACTTAGGTTACAAACCTATTTTCCATGGCAAAGGTTTTGAAAAAAAAAAAATAAATGTAGATAGTTTTAGAGAACACCCTTATTAAATATAGGAACATGAAGAGTAAAATGTAAAGTCAATGACTGGATGAGGTCACCTTGGTTTCCTTAGACGGAAAACGTTAAACCAATTTGTCTGGCTTCTTTGATTGAGGTTTTTGAAAACCGGTTCCTGTGCAGAACGGATTCCGTATGTTCTAATTCCATGGCACCATTTGGCAGCTCGCTTAACGATTCTCTTAACGATTCCAGGCAACACCAGAACCTAGCTCTAGGCAGCACGACTTACGTCATGTTTTTTTTGCGCAAGTTATGCACACGGCATTCAGTAAGCAAGTACAACATCACCAGGCGTAAATCTAGAAAAGCAAAACAAAAGCGCTCAAAGCGATTGAAAGTTTGGTTTAATTTTAAGGAAGAGAAAGATGGCAACAAGGCGCTTTGCAATGATTGCAAGGTAGCAATTAAATCTGCGGAAGGAAATACTTCCAACATGCAGAAACACCTGTGCACACAACATGGCATACATCTTAACAAATGCCGTGCTTTTGATGCTTCCGGACAGAAGCTAAAGTTACGACCAGCATGGAAGGCAACTCTGGTGGTAAGTAGCTAGTTTTATATCACTAGCTGTGCTTAAAGTGGTTCCAAGTAAATCATATGTCATTTCTTGAAATAAACCAGTTTCCTACCTCTGTTTGAGGTTATTAAGCGAGAGTGCCTTTCAGCACTTAATTACTAGCATGTTTAATTAGAACTACTGGAAGCTAAAATTCTTACATGATTCTAGCTGTTGCAATGGATGTAACGAAACATGCTACTGAGTTGCTCCGCAGTTCAGGGAGCGAGAGAAAGGTGACGCTCGTTTATTTAAATCAGGGGAGATGAGTTTATTTACCGAAATTGTACAGTAATTCTTTTTCATTAAACGGATGCCATCTTCATTCGATTTAGATGAGTGTGACGAGATGGGTAGCCTGGCTGCTCAGAGGCTGGCAGCTCCTGTTCACGGACTTCTGTTTTCGCCGAGGTAGGCAGAAATAGAACGAACCTCACCATGCACTCACCATGTTTCACAGAATCGATAAGAGAATCGGAATCATGAAAATCGTATTAATTTCCAACCCTAGATGACGTGTAAATTGGCGCTATATAAAAACAATGAATTGAAATAATTTAAAGAAAAAAAAACATTTATAATGCATTTAAGCTAAAAAATATCTGGAATCAACTTAAAATGTGTTAAATCCTGATATTAAAAAGGTTTTCAAACAAGTTTGCATTAAAACTTCTGATGTTCAAAGCAAGTGCAATTCGTATTTGATTTGTTACTTTAGCCAAAAAACCAAGAACATTGTTTTGCATTTTATTGTCTTCCTGTATATTTACATCTTATCCTTAAGAGCAAACAGTGCAAAATACAGGGTGGAGGAAATGCAACATCTGGAAAACCCGCAACAGGATTAATCAAAGGTGACAATTATTGCAGGCACAGTTTTTCTGTATATATATCCTTCTGGCTACCAGGTAAAAAAATATTGTTCCCACTTTGGTTCCCCAATCCCTGTAAGATAATTAGATAGCAGAAAATAAGATATTCTGTATGACCACTGCAGTGGACGTAGGATGTAGCACATTTGAAACTTATCCCTTATGTAAATGAGTAACTTAGAAAGAAAAACTTAAAACATATAATATCATAATTAGCTTGTGTGGTTTGGTACTTCAAAAGCAATTCTCCCTCTTGTAAATATATAAGAACAGCTTTGCACTTGTTGCACATCACGTTTTTTGCTCTTGCAACTGGATCTGTGACACCTTTGCATGTGTTTCATCCACATTCTATAGAAGATAGTTGGCAACCTAGTGTCTCAGAGCCGCATTTACCTGCGGTTTCCACTTTTGACATGGGGGAGTGTTGTAATTGTTGCTGTCATTTAAATTTCCTGCTTGGGTCTGAGTAACCAGCCCTTGACTATAGAGCAGTTTTAAGTCAAGGAACTATAGTAGTTTATACCCCAGAAACTGGCAGTCACTCAAACACTGAAGGCAAGAGTTTTCTCAAATGATTGGCCGTTTAAGCTGTTAGGAGAGGAGAAGGTAGTTAGGAAAAGAAAAGTTGAATATTACGAAAAGTTCTGTGTCATAATACAGTATGGCATCCTACAACCATTCATTCATGGGTGGTAATGTATCACATCCAAGGGAGTGGGTTACCTCGTAATGTTGCCATCTCAACCCAACAAAATTGTGATGAATAAAAGCAGAAAAAAAACACTCTTAAGTTCTGCAAATTTAAAAAATAGTAAGGAGCCGGTTAAGTAAAGAAATACCTTATTTTCAGCATAAAGTGTCTAAGAGATTGAAATTTATAAATAAAACATGATTATTATGAAACAAATGTATGTCAGTCTTATAGCTTTTTGCAAAAATCTACAATTTGCTCAACTAAACCCTTAGCAAGATCAGGAAACATTGAGATTTTCCATAAATTACATGCAAATCTGACAGCTAGAATGGCCCAAATATATGCAGACACAAAATATCTAATCAGCTGAAGAAAACTCCTGGTTATGCTATAACCAGTTCAGTAACAATTTAAAGTCAAGATTCAAATATCTGAGGAACATTAGGCAAATTGGAAACCACTAATATACAAAACCATGGCAGATCAGCATACAATGTTGCAGGACACGATATGCTGCTTCAGATTCACTGATTTTGCAGGTGTGCACAAGCTTTTGACTGCTGTTATTCATAAAAGTAATAGTTGCACAACATATGGCAAACAGTAGACAATGCTAGAAGGGGTTATTAAACAGATGTTTAGTGGAAGATACACAAGTGTCAGCATGTGAGTGAGTGTCTGTGCACCTAAAGTCTTCAGGGCAACAGTTGTTAAAAGATCCTAATTGCTCTTGAACTCATTCCAGAGGTGTCACAGTCTTTTAATATTCAAACAAGTAAATGTGCCGCTCTCCAAGCATATAAAGGATGCCAGCGAAAAACAATAAGGTTTATTAATATTCATGCACTACAATAGTTCATTGATCATGATGGAGCTAAAACTTTACTCAAACAAACTTCCGTGTTATGCTGATTAATTTTGCTAATTGCTACTTATGATGCAGATTTATTCTGTCATTCATTTATAAACCACATTATCTAAATATGTATTTAGTAACTAGGAAAAAGTGTCTAACTTTTTTTTATCAGCTACAGATGATAAACTAAGCAGATTCTAGTCATGTCCATTGAGGGGGCTATAGCTCGGACTGCTCAGATGACCATGGGCAAGACCATTGCCTTCACCTTCCAGGCTCTTTCTGTTCCTTCCCTGAGCCCTTATTATCCTCTTACACCCTAAGGGGGTATAAATAAATTTCTGCCTGACAAAAACACACAAAAGTAAATAACTTATAGCCTCACAGCTATTAGATTTAAGAAGAAACTTTTGGTACGTCTGTAAAGGTAAGATGTCATAGAATGGTTTTCTGGTGTCAGCACCATTGTAGCTTTGACCCTGCCTGAAATATTAGGGACAAAATACAAAATATTTTGCATTTTTTGAACCTCACCAAAATTTTCTTTGAAATAAACATTGCAAAACACTACCAAAATATTATTTATAGCACAAAAATGTAGTACAGACTTTTAAATCTAAATGTTGTGTAAAAATATACCAAATATGGACTCAATCAGATGAATCATATTTATTTTAGAATGGTATTAGTGAGAAATTTCTTAGGCGGAGAGGCCATTTTGGCACATTTATCCATAAATGTCACTAAACTGTGCCAAATGTGTTTTTGCACAGGGAGTGTATTTATGGCTGACTGAACAAAGGCAGGACTAACAAGCGTATAAGGAGCAGGTGTGAGCAGAGCTGACGAGGAAGCCAAGGGAAAAGAAAACACAAGGGGGCAACAGAGGACAGGAGGAAAAAAAAATAAGAAACTTAAATAAATCCAGAACACACCAATAAAGCTACAAAACAAAGAAAAACATGGATAAACGTGGAACTGAAAACTTAGAGAAAACCAACAGAACCACAATCGTTACAGAGCCCCCCACTTAAGGGCAGATTTCCGATGCCCTCTTATATCCAAAAACAAAAAACAGGAGTTTTCCCAGGAGGGTGGCCGAGTGGATGCTGTCTCTGCTGCTGCAGCCTTGGAGGGTGCCGTCTCTGCTGCTGCAGCGTCTGTGTTGCTACAACCTTGCGGGACACTTTCTCTGCTGCTGCAGCCTTGGAGGATGCCGTCTCTGCTGCTGCAGCCTTAGAGGACGCCGTCTCTGCTGCTGCAGCCTTAGAGGACGCCGTCTCTGCTGCTGCAGCCTTGGAGGGTGCCGTCTCTGCTGCTGCAGCGTCTCTGCTGCTGCAACCTTGCGGGACGCCGTTTCTGCCGCTGCAGCCTTGGAGGACGCCGTCTCTGCTGCTGCAGCCTTAGAGGACGCCGTCTCTGCTGCTGCAGCCTTGGAGGGTGCCGTCTCTGCTGCTGCAGCGTCTCTGCTGCTGCAACCTTGCGGGACGCCGTTTCTGCCGCTGCAGCCTTGGAGGACGCCGTCTCTGCTGCTGCAGCCTTGGAGGATGTCGTCTCTGCTTCTGCAACCTTGGAGGATGCCGTCTCTGCTGCTGCAACCTTACGGGACGCCATCTCTGCTGCTGCAGCCTTGGGGGACGCCAATCGTTACATCCTCTGCTGCTTATTAATGATCACAATATTTGATTAGTTGGATAGAACCATTGTCTCTGCATCTGGAAGTCCCCCGGGATCTTAGTTCTGTCATTCTCCACCACCTTGGGGTGCAGGTTCCATTTTGAACTTAGGGTGTCCAGTTTGTATTCTACACAGATCTGTCTGTACACTATACACTATACCAGCCCCTTGGTTATGGCGTTCCATGTATTCCTTTCCTGCTGGCATCTCAAAATCTGCTAAGAGATGCTGGATTGTTACTGAAGCCTCTTTGCATAGCCTGAACCTGGGAACTTACCTGGTATGGTAGATCCGGGTCTCTATTGCTGTGGTGCTCAAAGGTCTGCTCCTGTGCTGCCATGGTAAGTGCTTCTGTGCTGTTATTCAGTCTACCCATCTCTAGCCAATGGTAAGATTTGGTCATATCAGCCACTTCAGCTATCAGCTGGTGGTACATTCCATTCAGGAGTTTTTCCTCACATGATGGTTCCTCCATTTCCTTCTCTTCCAGTCCTCCATTGTCTGAGACATTCACTGAGTGATCCATCCCTTGGGGCTATCTTCCTGATGTATTCTTGAAGCATATATGTTTCATCTTCAGTGTTGGCTCTGATGCTCACTAGGCTTCTGCCTCCTTTGTGTGTAGTATCTGTATATACTGGATTCGGGGTTGAATCTAGCATTCAAGGTGAGTAGGTTCCCCGTTTTAACATCACTGGCCTGAATTTCCTCGTTAGGCCAACTTATTGTCCCAGCAGGGTGTCTGATTACTGGCAAGTTATAGCTGTTGATTGACTGGACCTCCTTCTTGCATTGAGTTGACTTCTCAAAACTTGCCTTACTTGTCAGATGTTTTGTTATTTTTCTTATGGCCCTATCATGGTTTTTCGATTTACATCGGTATAACAAGGCATTTAAAGCTCTCTTCTACATCTGATTTTCCTTCTTCTGGGAGTGGAATCCCATCTGTATGGGTTACCTTCCCTGTCTGTGTCACCATCTGGCCACACTTCTCCAGCTCGGATGGCATTCTGGTAAGCATCCTGTTGATCTTGGTGGTGTCGTTCAAATCAAGGACTGTTTGTATCAGTGCCTTTGTTCTAACAGTTAGGTTTAGGAATAAGGTGTGAATTTAAATTCAGCTAAGTCTTGGTTTATGTACTGGTTATGTTAAGGATTAGGGTTATTTTCAAGTATTGGGCATAGAAAGAAATCAATAGAAAGTCAATAGAAGTAAACTGATGGTCCTAACCACACCATGTGCTTTTTGGGTCTGTGTGTGTGTGTGTGTATGGGTGGGTCGGTGGCTGGGGTGGGTGGGTGCTAATATGAGCAGTTTTCTGGACATATTCCAGTGCATCACAGGGTACCACAGACAATAAACAGCCAAGCTCACACAAGCTTTCATACCATGATTAGAAGTTACTATTTAGTATGAAGTATTCTTTTTTTGTAACCTTTATTTTACTTTTGGAGATGGGCAGAGCACCCAGAACGAACCCCTCTGCATGCATAGGGGCCTTCCATGCTGGTTCCACCTTTAAAGACTCTCTTGCCTTTATGTGGATTTGTATTGTTATCATAACTTTAAGCCTTCCTTTAAATGACAGATTTTCTATTTTGCATTTTAATGTTTTTTTTTTTTTTTTCGGTCAGGACTCTTGATTGTACAAAAGAATAAATCCATAAATAGTATTTTCTTTTACATCTGCCTATATAACTTTGCCTTAAGGTGAGATCAGCAGGCATCTAAAAAGCCACAGAGCTGAACACAGCATGCAGTGCAGTGAAAAGGCAGAATATGTAAAAGAATATCATCCTATTTAGTGATCGACTAATACAGGTTTTTTTTAAGGTCAATGCAAATGATAACAAATGTTAACAGAATGATAACAATGATAACCAATATTCGAGAAGTGTCGTTTAACAAAAAGAAATAATTATTCACCATGGCTGCTGAACGTATTGCTGAATCACTCAGCACATGCTCAGCACATGCTCAGATACCAACACACCCCCCCCAACTTGCAAATATCAGGCCAAAATATCGGCTGGCCGATTTATTGGTCTGTCTCTAATTCCTTTTGATTTATTGAGGTTGATTACTCTTCCTCAAATGTTATTCTATCTATGTAAACACTGATCGAGAGGTTTGCTTAAGACTTTTTTATAGGTCCGTATTCAACAAATCACATGTAAAACCAGCAACTAAATGCGCACTAATTTAGACACAAAACTCTTTTAAGCCAGGTTTATGTAAATCATCACTGCTGTTTCAAACAATTGTCACTTAAATTTTATTTCATCGCATTTCTTACAGAAGTAACAAGCTTTCTTTTGACATTGTGTGGTACTTACAGGTTGAGTGGCTGCCATGCCGGCCACTGAGCCTTGGTTTTAATGACGGTCAGCACTTCATCACCCTGCAAAGAGACACATGGAGCGAGAAGCAAGTGTTATGAAGTGTAATTTGCCCCTAAATGGAGGACAGTAAAGGGAAAGAAAAGAAACATTGATAGAGAAAAGGCCTGAATTGACAAATTGACATGACTGAGGGGGAGTAATCTCATTCAAGGACAGCAAAGTGTATTCCACTTTTCTTAGGCTTAAGAGCATGGGCAAATTATGTGTCATCATGACATAATGTCTCTTAGGTTTTCTATTATAGATGTCTTTATTGTACATGGTAACGTCACTTAGCACCCACCACTCTCCTCATTACTTTGCAGTATTTCAGACACTTATGAGACTGTAAAAAACATGTTACATCATTATATATCCCATTTCATTATTCAGTTGAAAGAAAAATAATGCAAAAGGTAATTATGAACAAAAATTATGAATAAAAAATGAAATGGAAACGGTCAAAACATACATTTTAGGTAAGGTCAATACTACTAACTTCTCAATCTTTTAGACTTTCTCATATACGGTTTGCTGTAAATATTTGTTTGGGTTGACTGAGGGTTAAACTGCCCTCTTTTTGAGTCTGAATAAAGAAATAGGTTGATTGTTCTTCCATATGAGTTTGTGTGGCTAGAAATAAATTTAACAAGTAAATGTTCACTGTCTCTTTCAAGCAGCCTGGGGCTACAGTGGCTTCAGAGATCATCCCGCTCTTCCACACACACCATGGTGAAGCAACAAATAGTCACATACAGGCAGAGGCACACGGATGGTTAGATATGGAGAGACAAATAGAAAACACCCTGATAGGCTGAATCAAAGATCAGTTCCTGCAAACTGAAAAAAAAATGTCCAGAGGGAACATCATAAATGCATCAATCAATATGCGGTGGACAGAAATCCAGACAGGATTGGCTGCAGGCATGGCAATAACAGAAATCATAATCCTATATGTCCTTTAGCAGAAATAATATTTTATGTGAAGGACAAAAAGATATTAATTTCCTTTCTGAGTAAGAACTCTTTCTGGAAACAAAGTCTTTATGTAAAAGGATAGTGATTATTTCCCATAATACAAACAATAAAAATCACTTTTGACTTAATGCATCATCTATCTGCAATGAAATGTCTGCAATAAAATATATAACCGGCATGAAAGCTGGAGAAATTTAGGGTACAAGCGAAATTATTTTACATAAGTATTGACAGAAAAAAGACACAGCAAGGAGTAAGCTCCAGAATCAACAATGTAAAGATCAATTAGGATTTCCAGATTATATGTCTGTAGCTAGAAGAGATAAATATTGATCTATTTGGCCTTAGTGACAAGCAGTGTTGATCATGCTACTTTAAAAATGCAACTAGTTGTTGGGAGCTGGAGATATTCCACCTTTCTCCAGCAGAGTCTGCCGTGGATCCTCTGAGGAAGCCTCCTGCACAGCTGCAGCTCGTCAAGATCATCAGAGGATCCACTACTTAAGCTGTCTTCAGACCTTGCCTCAACGCCGCAGTGTTGTTCCAGTTGGTCAGCGCTTAAGCCTAGATCCTCAGAGTAAATCGATGACTTTTAAATCCAGCTTGGATTCTAATCCTTGTTTCTGTTTTCCAGGAAACCTGTGCCTCCTCTGTGTAAGCTCAGGAAGAGCTAACCTGCCGAGCCGACCCTCAGAGCCAAACCTGAAGATTCACAGTGAACCTCCAAGCAGCTCTGGACTAGAGCTGGGAAACCCAAAGCCAAGGTCTGTTCAAATAAGACGTGAGACGCTGAAGCAGCAAACGGACTCTGCTGATGAATTCATCTCCAGAACCAACAGAGACTCTCCCAAAGCTAACCTCAAGAACCCTCAAGGTACAACCAGTAAACTTCAGGAAATCAAACCTCTGTTGGCAACGCTAACTGAACTGTCTCTCACGCAGACTCCGGTGAACCAGAATCCAGGCCCCGAACCTGAACCAGTACATTCTGTGTGCTTGTGCATAAATAAACTGTTAAACTTTCATCCTTGTGTCCGTCAGTGGTGTTCTGCATTCTTGGGTCGCTTTTAGTGAACCCATCATGACACTAGTCACAGTTAATTTTTCTAAAGACTAACGGCGTAAATCTATCACTGCTTAATCAAGGTAGTTACAAAGAAAATTAATGTATGCAGTTACTTTTCTATGATCAAAAATATAAACAAATTTGAATGAATTTACTGTTATCACAGCATTTATAACTGGGAGTTCATTTATCAAATATACTGGATGTTAAATTTTATTATAATCAAATATAAAATTAATGAAAATGACTATATATCTGATGACATCATCTACTAATCATCGCCTTTTCTGATGTGTGTGATGGGACAAGTGAGCCAAGACAATAAAATGTAAAATGATTATTATGGTTAATATTTATAATAAAATAAGACCTGGAACTTAATATTTATGCATATTTCAGGATTTACCTGAGTTTAAAATAAAAAAAAAAAAACTAAGAACTAATCCTTTTTAAGCAATTTAACAAAAATAAATTACAATTTATGAACAAATCAAACAGCAGTCACTGTTCCAACAAAAAAAAGCAAATGGATTCAGCTTTTATTGGTTAAAACAATGTTTTTTATATCTCTTATTTAAACTGAAGATCTGTAATGGCTTCACAGGCAGGCTGGTTTCCACATCGCCACGTCTCTTTGGGTGCAGCAGCTAAACCTAATTCTGTGTTAAGCACATAAACACACCTAATATTATTCAATCATAAATTCTTTTATAAAAAAATCTTTCACTTGGCCATTTTGGAAGTGAGAGGTCAGCAGTTTCTACTGTTTTTTTTTGGCAATTCCACGTATTACATGGATCTTGCTGGTTTTTGTGGGTACTGCACCTGCTAAATACAGTAAACAGCAAGTACTGCCACCGGCGGGACTTTATAGCAAAGTAATACAGTCTATTCTGTAAGGATAAGTTTCATGATTAAGTTTGATGTAGAAAAATGTGTTTTGGAAAAATATTTCTTCTTCCTGAATTTGTTATTTATGAATAATCATGATTTTCTTTGATATTACTCTCTATTCATTTCATGCTTAGTTCTTTCTTTATATATTTAATATGTATTTAAGTTAAACATTGAATTATGATACAAATTAGCAGTGTATCAAGTAAATTGCAAATACTTTAACTTAAAACCAAATTTTATTGCAAGTCCAAATGGTCAATAACTGGGTTGTTTTTGTACAATTTGAACGCATGGCTGATAAAATCTCAATAACACATTACTTTGAGAGAAACAGCTTCTTAGTGCTAAAAAGTTTCCCTTATTTTAATGTTTGTGGAATACAGAGGAAAAGGGTTATTTTCTAATATTAGAATAAGCAGGAAGACTGTCTTCCATTATGCCCTTGTAAAAACATAACAGTAGCCAATAACATGTAAGCAAATTTAGAATAACAGTGAAGAGGTTCAAGACAATGTATTGCCTTAAGTTTGGTTTTTACTTTTTCTTTTGCTGTTCCAGCAATAATTACCAGACACACGATGTTTACCTCAGTTTAATATAAAAGGCAAGCATAATCTCACATTTAGCTGTCCTGCACATTTTAACTAGCAACATGTGGTAAAAAAAAAAGGCTTTGTGGAGACTGTTTGGGCAAAAATGTCTCTGTAATAATCCTGCCTGTTTACAGTAATTATAGTGATGGCACACAATAACTGTGATTTTCCAATATTTCAAAGCACATTATGTTTTTTCTTAATATTTTAAGATGAAAAGACAGAAAGGAACTGAGGAGGGCGGACTTAAAGAAGTTGTTGGGGAAGGAAGAAATTATAGAGAAAAATGAGAAGAATTTTCACCCCGCAGGAGCACAAGATGTGATAAAAGAGCCAGAAAACTGCATGGCTGAACTTAATAACTACAGCAAGACAGATGAGTGAAATATAAGGACTGAAATGGGTAAGTGGAATAGGAATGGATGAGGGTTGGGGTGTAACAAAAAACACATCTTAGAGCAGATAATGGAGAAAATAAGTGTAGAGACAGACTAAAGCCCAAGAAAGGAAGGAGAGGTAAAACAGATCACATTTCATTGAGTTTACAGTGTTTTCATCAACTCACTATGTTTCCTTCTGCAAATTCCTTTCTGCCATTTTTACAGAATGTGTTGATACAATTCGTCTTCATTTGCACCAGTTTCACTTTGCTCTCGATTAAAACATTTACAGGGTTCCTATTAGGGCTGGAACGGTTTACAAAATCCACAGTTCGGTTTGGTTCATGGTTTTCGGTTCGGTATATGTTGATTGTCACCCCGAAATCCAATGAAAATTAATGAAAAAAAATCCAAAAAAAGTTAATGAATTGTAATTATTTTTAATGATCCGCGGAAACCCTGGATCATTTCTGCATGTTTTGCAGCACTGAATGTAATCATCTGGCGCATGCTCTCTACGATCTCCAAGGAACTCAGAGCGGAGCGGACGGGAGCCACAGCAGAGGCTGTAGGCTTTGCTTTGTGCAGGCGGTCTGGAGCGCAGCGGGGCGGAACGCTGACGGAGTATGTGGGATTTCGGGGTTAGCCTGACATGTTGGTCACAATGGGGAACCGGGCATTTAGTCGCTCTGCTCCCCACCTCTGGAACTCCCTCCCTCCGGATCTCCGTACTCTGGACTCCTTCCCTCTTTTCAAATCCAGACTCAAAACTTTCCTGTTCAGACAGTCCTATCCCACCTAGTTCTTACGCATCATTCCAATATTAGTCTCTTCCTTTTCTTCCTTTGGTTTTATTTTACTTCCTGCTGCTTTGTTTTCTGTGGCATCTTTATGCTTGTATTTTTTAGCTTCCTGTTTTTAATGTTTTTATCTGCCTGTACAGTGTCCTTGGGTGTTGTGATAAGGCGCTTTCAAATAAAATGTATTATTATTATAATTATGTTGGTTATGTTGCTGTTAGCATAAACAAAACGTGTTGCACAATGCTTGCACACTGTTGCACTTTTATCCACCACTTTCTTTTCGCCGTCATAGTAGGTCACTCT